CATCAGGCACCACATCAAACCAATACTTCCTTCACACAGATAGAATGTCTCTTGCAGTCTACCAAATGAGAAGAAGTCAAAAAGGACAGCAAAGTTTATCTCCTGGCTAGTATTTTGTTACATATTTCACTGTTTCAGAGGTATAAAAGGCAGCACTGATGAATCACTAGAGAAGCCGACAAAATGTTGTCAAGTTGTTCTGCTGCAACATTCCAAATACAAGTTTGTTCCATAACCACACAGCAGTGCTAAACTAAATGAATGTGGGTAAAGGTTGAGTCTATAACTTAGTCACAAGTATACACCACTGTTGCTTTAGCAGCCTAAAATATCAGTTGCTCTGTTGAAGTCTTTGTCACACATTCTTGCTGTTTGTGGTTGAGTGTTAACTTTCTGGTGGGTTTTTTTTTCCTAACAGCAACGAAAAGTCTTATTAATTGCAAACAGATATGTAACTGCAACCCCCAGTATCTCATACTTAGTTTTATAATGGATCTAATAAGGTATTCTCTCATTCAGTTTTCCATCTTGTATCTGGCTACAGTGTTTTTGCAGAGCTTCAATTATTTATCATGTAATTAAACTTTTAATATGTGATGATTCTGTTTCAAAGAACACTTCTCATTTTTTAAAGAACTTCTAAGGAAATTCCTGATTCCAGTTAAAATGCAGAATTCAACTTAAAATGTTGTCAATAAACTGTACACTGAAGGACTGTACTTATAGCCCATTAAATCCCTCATTTCAGAAAGCAGAAACACTCAAATTATCGTTAGTGTTTTGGCATTGCAATAAAGTAACCAACTTTTTAAAAAAATAAGGTTATTACTTAGTTTGCAGTTGAACGCATCATCAATTTGGAATAAGAGCGATTGTTTTTTGCCATCCAATACCAAAATTCTGATATCATTCTTAAAACTTTGGAATTATCAGCATCTCTTATGCTTTCAACGAATTTAAGATAATTAAATGTCTTTCCAAACTCCCGAAATATATTCTTGTATAGCCGAAAAGTTTAAACATAAAAGAAAATGCTGGCGGGAACCAGCAATGAGAGTGGAATACTATTGCCAAATATTGAACTTGATGCAACAATGATCTACTTGATAGAGGTTTTCCTGTACACTTTGGATATCAACAAGATCTAACAACAAATTGTGTAACTGAAGGAACCCTCCAACAGCTATTCCATTTTCAACCTTGAAATGGAAATAAACATCCCTTTATGCACCCTGTATTCTATATTTACTGTATGTTCCTGGTATTTTTGCTGCATACCTTATTGTACCTTCTGAATGACTCTTTGATTCTTTTTTGCCTATATTTTTACTTTTGCTTAAGTTTTTAGTTAAGTTGCCACTCTGAAAAATGAAATGTGCTTACGATTAAAAAATGCCACTGCACAGTGCCCTGCTGTCCAGCATTCTGTACCAAAGCTTGCCCGACTCAATTTTGCAAAGAGTAATCTTTTACCCACTACAGGACAATATCACATTGGTTGGCAGTGTGCAGAAGTGCCCATTTGTACAGAATACCTGTAGAGAAGACCAGCACAGTGTTTTGCCAAAGCCCACTGGCATGCAGTGCCTTGGTGATGTTGCCCACAGCCTCGTCCATGGCAGACACCATGCCTGCATAGGTTCTCCGCTCCTTGTTCTGAATGAAGCTGTACGGCTTCTCGTAGCTTTCTGGCACCCGCAGGGGACAATGGACTGACTGGAGGGCCACATACAGGAAGAGAGGCTGCCAAACAAGACAACAAAGGCAGAGGCTATTGAATAACGTTAGAAATTAGGTATAAACCTTATCAGACAAGGGAGCAATTAATTGTTTTTCATTCCTTCAAGAACGTGAAGAAATTGATTTGTTTCAATAGCATTACACACTGTCCTTGAGAAAACACAGATCTTAAGAAACACTACAAAAAATGGGTTCAAAGTCCCATGGGAATACATGCAATTGAAACCCCATAATCAGAAGTGATAAATAAGCAATACGATTCTGCGATGGCTTTGGTTAAAAAGAAGTGTTGTTCTAAACATTATGTTTTAATTACTGTAGCATCTTCCATTAATTCATAAGTGGTTTTGTAATCATGTTAAATATCACCACCTGAGGACATTTTCTGTACCTACTGTAAGACAATATTTAAATATAGCATTAAACTCCTCAAATTCAGCTCAGTAGTCAGGGCAAAACTATAAAGAAACAAAAACTAAAATGTACACAATCCGCAGAGGTAATACATCTAGAGAACAAAAAAAAAGAAAGGTTTCGATAAAAGATGGAAAAAAAGGAAGGGAGCAGGAAGGCTTTAGAAATATATTCACAAGAACATACAGTAAGAACAAAACTGCCTTACTGACTGTCCTAGTATCAATTATCAAACTTCACAACAGAACAGGCTGAAATTGAATCCTGGGGACTAGATGATGATGATCCAGCAACTGGCCTCGACTGGCCTTGAGTTTAGCTGTTCATCCAACAAGGTCTCTCTCAAGGTTAGCACTTGCTTGTTTATCAAAATATATGCTTTTAAGGGCTAAAATGTACAAGCCTAATCGGTCATGATTAAACTCCTAAATATCTGTATAGTTTAGAAATCAGATATAATGAAGAAGAGAGGCCTGAAAACCTATTAATTGGAAATGTGTTGGCTATAATTTGGTTGCTATTTGTGCATTTTGTGTCATAAATTTACTTACTAAAATGAGTACAAAAGGGAGGCACCACTACAGTTTACACATTAAATTGATAGCATCAGTGCAGCAAAAAAGGAACTTCTTCAAAAGAGTGATTCTAGTGGTAATTCAGCTGAATGCACAGGAATCATCAGTATTACTGTATGTCTTAATCATTGTTGGGGAGGATATACAGCTTATTCTAGTACCCAATCTTAAGTGATTAACTTTCCCTTTGGAAGTGCTGAAAACAATTGAAATCTGATTTTGAACTTGATGGTGGACTGATCAGTCATTGATCTATAGTACCAACGGTGCACTGGAATACAAAGAATAATTCATTGTCTGAAGGCAGGCAAAAGGAAAATGTAATCCTGGAAATAATAGTGGAATGTCAAAAACCTGGCTCTCTCATCTTTACTGATACTGTATGATTAATGATGGCAGCAATATAATTAATTCTGAAGTGTACAAAACCAGTTTGACTGCTTATATAAAAGAAAATGCTTCCATACAGTATACTATGGAAGGCCCTTCATCTTAACTATGACCAAAAAAAATATGCCTAAATACATCAGCCTTAAGAACTGACTTTAACCCTTACTTTATTCACTTTACTTTCAGTGAATGTGTCCCAATAATTATGGCCACTTTAAATCACTAGGTTGACTATACAGCATGCTTTTGTTCTAATGTGATCACATGTATGCATACAGTAGAATTACCTTCAACCGTGTTGATTACATGATCACAAATACAAATTGCTTGACTGTAAAACAAACATAAATGTCTTGACCTTTCTGTGCCAACACTTTTAGAGGGCAAGGTATTTTTTTTAAAGACAGACAACTTTACCTTTTGTGGATTGTGCTTAGCGATAATGTCAGTGGCTCTCTCGACAAAGACATGAGCAGAATATCTGCCTGCAAAACCTGTTGCCACTTCCTCCCCATCTCTCATGTCCAGGGCACAGCGAGTTAAGTTCAGAGGTGTGATGAAGGCACAACGATGGTGACTGAAGTAATCTTCACTTCCTGTCAGGTAGCCTGCCACCAGAAACCACAGAAGGCTGGCATTGTACACAAACTGAAACATATTCAAGGCACATTCCACGCCATCTCAGAAAAAAATACTTGTTGGTCTTTGTCAAAATTTAGAACTTATGCATTTTCTAGTTCTTTGACAGTATACATGTTCAGGCTAAAGCATAGCATTTATTTTTTGCTGTTACAGAAATATTTTTTTGAGTTTGTGGTTGACAAGGTGCCTCTGTATTTATGTTTTGAATAAAAGCAGCAAAAGTGTATCTCAGATAAAACCATCTAACCATAACTATTTCAAAGCATACCAGTTTAACTTGTATTAACCAGATAGAGTAAATATCTTGGGAGTAAAGGAACAAAATAATTATTCCTTTACCAAGGTAGGTGTCGAAGCCTCTCCTCGTCGGTAAACAGTCTTTCTTGTACATTCCCAGGTGCCACTTTCCGACCATGTGTGTGGAGTAGCCTGCCTCCTTCAACAGCTGTGGAAGGAATTTCTCATCCAGCGGGACACAGTAGGGCTGGCAAGGCCAGATTATCTCATGCTGCATTCCTGTGTGGATCTGTCAGGAAAAATGGTTATTTCAGCTACATATACCTAAAGGAACAAAAACTACTGAAGCTTTAGAAGGTATATCACCCTGCAACTCACAACTGGCAACCCACTGAAGCTAAGCAGGTGTGAGCCTGGTCAGTACCTGGATGGGAGACCTCCTAGGAAAAACTAAGGTTGCTGCTGGAAGAGGTGTTAGTGGGGCCAGCATGGGGCGCTCACACTGCTGTCCATGTGGGTCTTAATAACCCAGTATGGTGATGGGGACACTGTACTGTAAACAGGCGCCGTCCTTCGGATGAGACGTAAAACCGAGGTCCTGACTCTGAATGGTCATTAACAATCCCAGGGTGTTTCTCGAAAAGAGTAGGGGTGTAACCCCGGCATCCTGGCCAAATTTCCCATTGGCCCTTACCAATCATGGCCTCCTAATAATCCCCACCTATGAATGGCTTCATTACTCATTACTGAGCGTGCTGGCGCACTATGGCTGCCGTTGCCGTTGCTGCACATTAGTGGTGGTGGAGGGGAGTCCCCATTACCTGTAAAGCGCTTTGAGTGGAGTGTCCAGAAAAGCGCTATATAAGTGTAAGCAACTATTATTATTATTATTATTACTTTTCACAGCAAAGTGCATTACTTCAAAGTCTTTTACAAAACAATCAGAGGAATATTAGATGAGGGCACAAACATCACATAAGTGAGGTCCGGGAAAGAGTTCCATAGCACAGGTCCACATCCATCCCTTTTCCAACTGCTTCATCCAATACACAGTCGCAGGGGAGCCGGAGACTCACAAGACAGGATACACCCTGGACAAGACGCCAGTCGAATGCAGGGCAGACACACAAACATGCACACACTCAGACCTAGAGACAAATTTCCCAGAAGCTAATTAACCTGCCAGTACTGTATGTCTCTGGACTGTGGAAGGAAACTGGAGCACCCGGAGGAAACCCATGTCAACACTGGGAGAACATGCAAACTCCACACATGCCTGTTTTTGGCCTGAAGGTCAACAATTCACAGAAAAGGTCCAGTTCAAGCTTTTTTACAGTATGTTCTAAGATGGCAGCAGCAACTGGCTAAATGAGATATTTATCAGGCTTTCTTTCGTGATTTCATAGCCTGCTGCTTTAAAAAAAAATAACTTCTTTAAATTGAGTGTTGCATCACAGTCCTGTGTATTTCAAAAGTGTAAAGATGAACCTAAAGTCCCCTCTTCCAGGCAAAGACTGTCACAACTGGGACACCGGTCTATTTCAGGGCACACTATCTGAAGAAAATTAAATTAGCTGACATGTCTTAGGAAAGCAGGAGGAAACTGGAGTTTCACAAGTCACACAAACAGAGGAAGAACATGCAGACTCCTCACAGAAGTAACGCCCAATCAAACCCAGGCACCAAGAGACTTTAGTTCTGGTAAACTTCTTCTATATTTTTCTTTCAATTAAATAAATTCGAATCAGTCCAGTCAGGGCAAGTAATTGTAGTTAAAATGCATATATAATATAACGCAAAGCAAAGAAGGATGTGACAACCAGTCACATGACTCGTTGCAACAAACACAGTAGTGAACTGCGCTTTAACAAATTTGAATTCTGCATTAAGGGGCTCAACAATAGCGGTCCGTTCTTAAACTTTAAGTTAAAGACTCTCACCTGATATCTTCCGGTCATCAGTTGGTTTCGGGACGGTGTGCACAACGGCTGGACGTAATAATTGTTCAGTCTAACTCCCTGTGAAGCAAGTTTGTCAAGATTTGGGGTTTTAATTTTAGACCCGTGAAACCCCACATCATTCCAACCGTAATCGTCAGCCAGGATGAAAACAATATGAGGCGACGTTTTAGCATCTTCTTTTGCATCTAAAAACGTGAAATACGGTGCTAAACAAAGTAAAATCAAGAGACGAATCTTCTTAGCAGCCTTCATTCTTTTCCCCGCCTTCCTCTGGTGAGCAAAGTAAGGAACCAAACAGTTACACTCCGCAGTTTAAAGATACAGGTACTCTATATATATTACACAGTATAACACAGCTCTTGCTATATGTCTGTGAAGTTGATGGATAAAATAAAGCTGGCTAATGTTTTTTAAAAGAAGTGCGTGTTCGTTAAAACGTTGAGTGTGGTGCACATAAAAGAAACGTCCGTAAGGCTTAAAATTTACGATTTAAGTTGCATCCAAATCAAGATGCTCATGGTTTATGTTGAGCGCTTTAAACTCAGGAAGTGCTTCAACCAATCACAACCAGTTAGATTTTACAGTACTTCGAAATAGCCCTTCCTCCTAATTTATAACACTTTTGGTTAATGTTTAGTATTTACTGTAAATAAAAAACATTTTCATGCATTTTACTTTCTGTAAAACAACAATTGAGTAGAAAAAAAGATTCAAAGTAAAAACTTCGAGAACTAAGTGTAAATATACTGTAGTAAGGTACTATATTTGTGAAAACCTGAAGTAGAAAGTATCTTCCCAACCTTTAAGGAAAAAGTCTTTAAGAACAAGAAGCAAACGGGAACGGTTATTTTAAAATGATTCTCGGAGCTATATATCCCTTGTAATTATTAAATAGAAGTTTTCTACTGGATTTTCACGTCTAGGATCTTACAATATCTGTATCAGAACATGAACCACATTGCATTTCAAAATCTCATCATACTCATAGTACGTTGGACTAATCAATGTAGAGTTTCAGACACGGCAAAAGCGGTCTAAGCAGTACACATCTAATTTTTTGGTGTTTTTTCTAAATATAGTATTTAATAAAAATTGTTTTTTTTTCACCAGATGTTGACTGTATAGATAGGCCTATCTTTTTTCTACCCCCCCCGATATTAAAACTGTGCTTTAACCGTCCTCAAATAAGGAAAGGAGCTGTAAAAAATGAGGAGTACACCTCTTCTTTGAACTTCGGTTGTCCTAAGTCAAAATTGGTAAAATAGCAAAAATTGTGCAGAATACAACATTCAGTTTTCTGAAGTGTAACTGCATTCATTTTCATGCAACGTGTTGTACGTTTGGATTATTGCTCCATTTTGAGAAAGAATAATAAAATATGAGACTCGATGCGCTTGCAAGTCTAGTTTGTGGCTTAGAGTAACTTCTCAGGCCCGAAGTACCTCAGATAGCATCTTAAAGGCTGAACTAAACTTTGTGAAACTTGTTACACCTATACAGTACATGAGCTGTAGGCTATTCTATAAGTATTTCTATTACATATTTTGAATATGTGATGGAAAAAAGAAACACAACACCTCCTCCTCCACATTCTGGCCCTCCTGTCTGTGTGGAACAGGCTGAAGAGTGACTCATCCGTGAAGAGGACCTGATGCCGAGTCCATCGCAGCCTCTGTCTGGCCCAAAGCAGTCAGGTGTGACGTCTAGGAGGTGTGAGCAGAGGGCCTCTGACAGGTCAACTTGCTCTAAGGCCAGTACATGGAGCCTCACTGTCCTGTCACTGATGTAAAGGTGTAAATTATGAAAATACGGTGAAATGTAACTGTTCATTCAAGGGCAATCAGAGTAGGAAGCTCAGGTTGTATTTATTATTTGAAGGGTTCTGCTCAGTCTGAACAACCAGCAGCTTACTTTTATACATTTACTGTATATCACTGCGTGTTTAATGAGCTTCTTGTTTGAAAATGGAAAATAATAAATAAAAAATAACGGACTAACAGATGAATGAAGCACTGTTGTATTTAGAACCCTAACACATTTAGTTTATTTCAGTGTATATTAAAACACAGTTCATTATTAAATTTTACAGTGCACAGCAGGAACAAAATTATAATACAAAAGTTACAAATACAAAGGTGTTTTGTGTGATATTGGGAGCATAATACAGTTTCAATCAAAGCAATTGATTAAGCTACATGAAAGTTAATTTTTGTGTGTTTTTATTACCCTGAGATGAATGTATTATTTTACTGTTGGATACATTTTAAAATTAAGAACAATACTGCAAAGTCCCTATTATAAACCATATATGGAAATACTATTGCCAGAGGAAAGTAGCTTTTTTTAATTTCAACACATCTGGCACTTCTAACACTTAACACATCTGTATCTCTTTAAGACCTTAAAGCACTTTATTTTCTGTTTTCATACATTACCACTCTATAACACTGTAAAATCGACTTTGAAAGCTTGTGGACAATTTTGCATTGATTTAACTTACACTTCAGCTTTGCTATGCAAGTATTTAAAACTCTTATCACCTTCTTCTGAAATTTTTTAGCTTCTGTGTGAGCTGCAACAAAATTGCCCTGGTCTTCAGCTCTCCTGTCTTCACTGGACTTTATTACCTTTATTGAACTTTATCAAACTATATTGTATGTAGACGATAAATCTACTGTATTCCATGTTTTGCATTAAACATGGCTTACTCATTTGAAAGTGAACTGGGAAATCTATTCCCCTTTTTCCTGACCAAGCAGTCTCCTGGGATGTTTTTTTCACCGTATGCAAGCTCTCATCTCTAACATTCCATTTTTTTCAGTCTCTTGAGTGAGAGGTTTTGTGGCCTGCAGATCATGGGCAGCCCTGGTCAAAGCCTGTTCTCTGCCTCACTAGGCCTTGCTTTTACTCTGTTTCTGAAGACGCGTTCTTGTGGGTTCAGTCAGCACCAACGGTTCCTGCACAACAGTTGCTTTGTAGTTTTTGCCTAGCAACTCAACTTCTACCTTCTGGCCTATTTTAGCAAGCTCTGTAGGCACATAGGCAAAAGCCACACTCTGTTGGGTGGTGTAGCTGTAGGCTCCAGAAGTGGTGTTTCCAACAACCTGAAAAAAAAAAATCAGATTTGTGGAAATTATGTATATGTATAAACATAAGAAAGTTTACAAATGAGAGGAGGCCGTTTGGCCCATCTAGTTTGTTTGGTAGTTAGTAGCTTATTGATCCAAACATCTTTCTTGAAAGTAGTCAGGTCACTGTCCTCAACAACATGGCAGGCTGCTCCATACTCTCACAATCCCTCGGGTAAAGAAGTGCCAAGTGCCTTCTATTACTTGGTCTTAAATGCATTTCCATGTAGTTTCCACTGGTATCTGTCACGAATGCCAGGAAGGGCATGCAGTGGAATGACCAGGAGAGCAGTAGAGACCCTATGCATAGTGGCAAAAGGGGCAACACAGAGGTTAACCCGGGCTCAGGGGGTCAGACGATGTCGTGTAGAAACCTCAGGCCACGGAGGAGACAACCTGGTGCTATTCGGGTTTCAAGACATCCGAACCCTCAATATATAGCCCCACACAAAGACAAACAGGAAGAACAAGAAAAGCATAGGAAACTAGGAACAGGACAGAGAAGGAGTGCCCTCTAGATGTAGAGGGCGTGACAGTATCTTTTGGTTCAAAGTATTTGTAATCATATACAATTTCCTTTTAGGGGATAAAGTGTCTCTTTCAGTCAACTAGTGTTTCAAGATGAACAGTAGTTTATGATGTGATTTGACTCATTTTGAACTGCCGCTTAGTAGTTACAGAATACACAACTGTAACTACTTAGTACTGTAACTACTAAGGCAACTGAGGCATTTTTAAATATGACTGAAACTTTTTTGAAAGTGATACAGCTGAAATCAATTGTACAGTATAAACCTGGAGAGACAATCTCCCACTTGTATCTTAGAAGCCAAATTAGATAAAGAAATAAGGCAGGAGTGATTAAAAATTGACTTCAATATACTGTACAGCAAGAACACTAGGCAAACAGGGCTTTACTGTTGACAGTTAGACTCAGAGTGACATATCAATCACATAAGCGTGTGGTTATTCCAAATATTCATGTAAAATCAATCTTTATATTGCATCAAGAAGAAAGCACCCCCTTGTGCGAATATGTTCCACTTGGAAATGAATAAACATGAGTACATATTTGTTCATTTGAACACAAAGTACACGGTTATAAGACACCATTGAAACTGGATTTGAACTTTTACAGAATGAAGGTTGCCTGTTCAAAAAATTCCTATAACTGACAAATAAATGAAAGAAAATGCAAACTGAAGTGTATAGGGTGAATTGTATTGTCCCCATATGCAGTCCCATGGGTTGCCAAATCCCTGTCTGAAGACCCCTTTTCACATCCCTCTTTGTGCAGCAAACTCTCACCTTGCCATTGTGCCAAATGGTCTCGTTGCCTTCTGGATCAACGTCATCGGTTTGCAGAGTGAGATACACTAACTTGCGAGACAGGCCTTTGGCCTTGATCTCCTGTAGGGCCTTCTTACCAATAAAGTCTGCAGGCTGGGAAAAAGGATGAAAAAATACTTTCATGCTCCTATAAGTACTTTACCAGGCTCCGAACATTTTTAACCCATATAATAAGAACAGTAAATAGCCATCTGGCAAAAACATTGGAGGATCTGCTTCAGGTCAAATGCTGAAGTTGCCAAAGGTTTTTATTGATTGAACAAAGTTTCAAACAACCTTTAATGGAAAGTCCAGAAGATGTGGAAGGTGCCAATATTATCCTTGTAGTGTTTTTGCCTCTTTTAAATATTAACAACAGTTGTCAGTTGAGGAGTCTATCTTTGCATCTGTTACTTTGTTCAGAGAGTCATGACAGTTTTAGCTATACTGAGCAAACAATAGCACTACAATTTCCATTTGCTGCCTGGATTTTAAACATACATTAATTTAAACATACATATTAATTATAGGTATATAACAGTGTTTATATAATAAACTACCTCATTCACTATACAGTAAAACATTAATATACAGTGCCTTGTACAGGTATTCCCTGAAATGTTTCCACATTTGAATGCCATGTGAACTTGCAATCATGACAATTTCAGACTAGGACCTTATACTTTATACAATTTACACAATCTACTCCAAACCGATAAAGCTAGTATGCAAACAGATTACATTTTTAAAGAAAACTAGAAAACATAAATGTTAAGCCTCTTTGCTGTGACATCTATAAATCAAGTCAGTTTGTTTGGAAGGTCAAAGATTGGTGATTTCTGTCTGTTAGCAATCAAAGTGGTTTAATTTGTCTTCAGAGTAAACGCATCTATTTCTGTATGTTCCTTCACGTACTAAATTTCCAAACTCGACATGCATAATGATAAGAGAAATCCAATATAAAGACAAAGTACGTTTCAAAATAAATCATGGATAAAGTGTGCAAGGGGACACAGATCAGGAGAAGATTATGTATCTATTGGATGACAGTTAGGTTCATCAGTAATAAGTTGAATGTTCCACATTGTCACAGTTGTCATCCGGAGGGCGCTCCTACCTTTTTCGTTGTGTTCCCAGTTTTATTTATCCCAGCTGTGTCTTATCCTCTTTTCCCTATTTAAGCCCCGTGTCTCTGTAGTTCTGGGCTCAGCTTTGGAAGACGGATGCCCGGAAGCCCGCCTACCACCGGGCACAGGAATGGCCCGAGGGCACAGACTTCATCACGGTGTCCTGATCTACTGAGTCCAGGGCTCGGAGCGCCTTGTCCTGTCAAGGTTTTAACTATCCGTATTCCTAATTCCCTGTTCCCTGTGTTTGTCTTGGATGGATCTCCCAGCACCTGGACCTTGGGCTGCTCCCTGATTTCCCTTATTGCCTGCGCTCCCCCCATTCACCAGATCACGGCCGTCACCACCCCCTGTGTTTCTACTCAACCTGATCCTGCTGTGTCCTCCCTGATGTCCTACTCCAGTCACTTCCGGATTATAGCATCTTGCATAGGGTCTTTAACTATGCATTTCTGAGCCGGTTCTGACTCCTGTGACACACGTAACCAGACACTAACCAGATCAGACCAACCTTTCAAACTGAGCAGCCCGGCAAACAGGATACTGGTTTGAGATGCTACTGTGAAGCCAACAATGGCTTTTAAAGAAATGAGAATCACTGCTTATACATCTACACTATTCCAATCCATTCACAGAACTGACTTTCATGCTTGAGTGGCAAGAAAGAAGTCTTTACTGAAAAATATGTTAAATTTCCATGACTCCCATATATACTGCAGATATATTGCAGCATATTTTATTTTCAGGCAAGGAAAAAAATGAACTTTTTGGTCTTGATGTAAATTGTTACATCTAAAAGCAAGCCCAACACAGACATCACCATTCCAGATGTGGAGTGTAGTAGCGGCAGCCTCATGTTATGGGGATGCTTCCCATGATAAGGACTAGGAAGCTTGTCAGGACTGGTGGAAAACTGGATGGTGAATCATAGAGGAGTCACCCAGGAGCTGAAAACTGGTTAAAGATCTGAAACCAAAGCCACAGTGACAAGAACAGAGTGAATGTCTGTGAGTTGCCCAGTCAAAGTTCAGACCTACAAGGACATACTGTAATAATTTATGGTGAGGCTTAATGATTATCTATTTCAGGAGGGTAATCAGAACTGAAGCTCAAGAACGTTTCTCCAGGCTGTAAGTAAACCTAGGACCACTGAGCTGTGAGGGAAACTCAGAAACAGTTAATGAGAAACAGTCTGGTCACCAACACAAGACTCTGGCATACTTTTTTTTTAAATAGCTTCTATGGATAATATAGGTAAGCGGATAAATGAAGGTTGTATTAAATTTTGTTCTAGTAGTGAAAATAAGTTCCGCATTTACTGAGACAAAATATAATCTATGGAAAAAAAGCAATATTCAAATGAATCAAAACAGGATAAATATAGTGTCTTAAAACTGTATCCTTGAGGAATAATGGTTCTAAACGATATAGTTTTTAAATGTCACAGTTCTCTAACATGATATTTGTGGTGCTATTCGTACTGTATATGCATGGGATAGTCTTTTATTTGCTGCTTCGCAGACATCTCTGGCATACACGTAAAATTCTGGAAGAGGGAACTAGACCGACACTTTTGACTATCCAGCCATTTCTAACCTCTTCTTCCAATTTAGGGACAGAGGGGAGCCAAAGCCCATCCCAGCAAGCAAAAGGCACAAGGTAGGATATTCCCTTGACAGAATGCAGTCCATCACAGGGCACACACACAGACAAGCACACACTGACACAAGGATCAAATAAGATACCAGTATGTTTTTGGATTGTGGGAAGAAACCAGGGCACCTAGAAGGGACCCAGACAAACATGGGGAGAACATACAAACTCTAAGCAGACAGCACCCCAGGTGTGCAATTGAACCCAGGGACCCAGTGCTGTGAGGCAACAATGCTAACCACTGTATTACCCTGTTGCCCATTTGTTATACTAAAATATTTCATTAACATTCTAAAATATAAACAATAAAGAACAGATGGTAATTTTAAAGTAAATCCTTAATGGTGGTGTAATGGTGTTTAATTTATAACATAATTCATGTTAACACATTTTGCAAATCAACAGACAAACAGAAAATATGTTTTAATTTTTTTTTTGCAATGAGCTGTTTATTCCCAGATGTAGTTTTATCTATTCCTGCACCGAAAGAAAAAGTTTTTAATTAGCGAGGATTTCCTGGACTACAGTGTGTGTGTGTATACAGCGCCATCTTTTGGTGACATGGGAAATAGTACAGAAAATACAGTACACCTGATCACAGTGGGACAATCAGTGTTGTGAAACACTGGAACTTGTCAAGAATTGGTACTGTACATTATATAGGGGCACTGTTATTTATTCCAGAGTCAACATGCAAGATATCCTTGATTTATATGTCAGACAAATTGTTATTAAAGACAGCAGTGTGGAGTAGTGGATAGGGACTCTGGATCCATCAGAAGCTGGTGTTGTACCATCAGGGTAAAATCATAGACAGGCAGGGCTCAGGACTACTTCAGTGCATCAGGAGGCACCTTTGGCAGCAATTATAGCTGCAAGTCCTTTTAGATAAGCCTCTACCAACTCTGCACACCAGGCTGGTGTATACCCTATCTTCTTACTTAGCTGGTGATTTGCCCAGCAATTTTTTGAAGTCCCACACAGACTTTTAATCAGATTCAGGCCAGTAGCACTCAATGGCTACCGCAGGGTAATTGTGGCGTCGTGCTTTGGATTCATGTCCAGACCAAAGGTGAATTTTTCTTTTAGGACCTTAGCCAACTGAACCAGAGGTTCAGAGGTTCCCCTAAGGTTTGCCTGTACTTTGCTTCACCCGCTTTTCCACAGTATCAAGAAGCTTCCAGATCCCCGCCGATATAAAGCAATTGCATTATGTGGCTACCACCAGACTTGACAATAGGAATGCTGTTAAACAGATGATGTGCTCTGATGGCTTTGAGCTAAATATTTACATTTTGCCTTTAGACAAAAAGCTTTCTATATTGTCTTGTCTGATGAAAAATGCTTTTGCCATATATTTACATTTTCTAACTGCTTCATCCAATTTTGGGTCACATGGAAACTGAAGCTATCCCAGCAATCAACGTGCGCAAGGCAGGATACACCCTGGATGGGATGCAAGACAGACACACAAACACAGACAAGCACACACTCACAGCAGGGTCAATTTCCGTAGAGGACAATCAACCTACCAGCATGTTTTTGGACTGTGGGAGGAAACCAGATCAATCAAAGGAAACCCATGCAAACACAGGGAGAACATACAAACTCCACACAGATAGCACCCCAGGTCCAGGATTGGAATCAGGGCCCCAGAACTGTGAGGAAGCAACACTAACCACTGTGCCACCTCCCACACACTGTATTTACAGTATTACTTTAATGGTTTGTTGCTAATTGCAGACTTGTGAGATTTGAGATGGCTTTTCTCAGTAATGGCTTCCTTCTTACCATTCTGCCTTACCAGTCAGGTTTGTGGAGTGACCAGGATATTGTTGACTCATGGACATCTTCTCCTGTCTCAACCTTTGAACTCTGTAGCTCTTTCGAAGGCCTTACATTGGCATCCCTAACCAGTTTCCCCCTTGCCTGGATGTTCAGTCCAGTGAGATAGCCTGATTAGGTAGTATGTGGGAACTATGGTACAACTTCCTTTTCTCAGTAATCAATTTCACCATGCTCTATAGGATATTCAGTATCTTTGAGATTCTTTATACCTTTCTCCCGATATGTTTCTTTCCCACTTTCTCACTGAGTTATTTCAAAATATCCCTGTTCTTCATGATTGAATCCTTGCTTGAAATTCACTACTTGTATGAGGGACCTCACAGAGACAGGAATATTCTGGAATTAGGTGAACCACTATTATAGCACACAGACAGGGACCATTCATCTAACTATGTAACTTGTGAACGTAATTTTGTTTACCAATTTAAGTTTGCCTTAGCAAAGGGGGTGAACACTTATCTACAACACTTTCTTTGCCGTTTTAACTTATTCTTAAGTTTCTTTCATTCATAGAAGTGTCCACTATAATTATTTATGGTTTCATTAAAAGTATTCACTTTAATAATATTGAGACTAAATAATACAGAGACTCAGTCTATTCTGTAGTTTTGATACTGTGTCTCACAATAACATCCAAATGATCAAAGAGTGGTACTAACAGTTATCTCAGATTAAACTAATTCTCTATTAAATCATTAGCTCTCAGAACATAAACATTTAACAGTGACCAGATCATTCCTAGGTTCTTTAAGATAGCCTCCATAGGGATGGTTTATAGGACAAAGCAGGCAATAGGACAAGATAGGTGCAGTACTTAAAAGCACTGACCAAGTCAAAGAAATGGACTTCTTCAAAATCAACAGTGAAACAAGAACCAGAAGACACAAGTGGATACTATACAAAAAAAGTTTTCCAGACTTAGAACTGGGGAGTACAGTATACTTCTAAAAACTGTAATAATGCCAAATTTGAACATACCTTATTTAACTTGATGAAGTAATCTAAGCCAGCTTCCAGTGGATTTGTGTCACAGTTCATCTAGGAGAAGGATCAGTATATTACAATCACACACACACAATATTAAAATATTGTATTACTATAAAATAATCCAATAATTTATTACTATTACTTTAATAGGCATAATTAATATTAAATTATTGAAACAATTCTTAGGTTCTTATAAAAATAACTGAGTTAGTTTAAAAAGGAGTTTTGCAATTATAAAGCATCTGGTCTGACAATTATACCTAAGAGTACCCACTGTTAAAGTTGTAATATCAGTAAATCAATCATATTTCTGAGGGACAAAAGTAGCCATTGCTGGTAAATTCAGTTCCTGTATATTAAGTTTATTAATGACTAACATGTTTCAGAAAGTGTGACTTTCATTAACATGTAGAAATAATAACCTTTATTTCATAGGGAAAACTAAATGTGCATGATTCTGTACAATTTAGTAGAATGAGTTACTTGAACAGGATTACTGTATCTTAATATATTTTAATTATACAATCATATACTCATATGGTATGTAATATTTGAAGAAAAAAACAAGAATTACACAGAGGCTGCAGTACACAAATATTAATTTGGCTGACACTTTTGTCCAATGCAACTATGTAGTGTATCCTTTTTACAGTTAGTAAAATATCCTTCAAAAAGTCATCAAAATATAACTTTCATTACAATCCTATGCATCCTAGCTACATCCTCAGCTCCACTGTAGTATCAACATGTCCCTGCTTAAAAGTACTTCAAAATCTAAAAAATCAGCAATCACAAAAATTTGATTTTCCCTTAAACTTAGGCTAGGATTAATAGTACAACTGTATTTTAAATGAGATTAAAAATATACTGCATTAGGACTTGCCATAAATAAAAGCCAACCTCCATCTTACAGAAAACTTCACAGCTATACATTAATCTTCCAGCTCAGACCCCGATCCACAGCAGACATCCAAAAAGAAGACAATGTGTTTCGAGGCACCTGCTTAGATCATTTTTAAAGGTTTAACAGGAGTTCTGCTCTTGTTGCTTATCCCAATAATGCTGCACTATTTTCATCAGCATAAATTGGCATTTGAAAAGACTTCCTAGGAAGGACATCCCATGGTGTGGTGCAGGGCTGAAACCTCTGTCACACTAGAAAACGTTTCCACCATATCCTCTCACACTTAATATACTGTCACTTAGTGTATGACAACAAGTCGTAGCAGAGAACTGCAAATAATATAATCAGCCCCTTAAATTCCTTTCTTCAGCTCTAAAAGACCAAGGAAAACGTCTGCTCTTTGCTGACCTCGGCTCCCCAGGCCCGAAAGGCCTTTTCCATGCGCAGCGAGCCCATGGCGTAGGTGCCAAAGTTGTCAATGGCCTCTTCCTGCCCTGCCTGCATGATGGCCTCATATAGAGCAGCAGTTTCCTGTCGGTCATGGTACAGCTCCCAGCCCAGCTCACCTGCAACACAGTCGGCAGAGAGCTGAGGGCTCATACAAACTTCCGCTTCTCAAAAGGACTTTAACTTTCGCTCTCCTGGGATTTCGACGGGCACTTTTGACACTCGCATAAATGTGATATTTTTGCTAACAGACTGAAAAAGCAAAGATGAGATTACATTAGTTGCGGTTACTCTGAGCCTTGGATGGTAAGATTTGTCCAACAGCTATTAAAGCAGCCTAGACACAGCACAGTGGCAAGAAGCAGAATCCATTCAGCTGTTTTTATTCTCGTCCAGTTTAACACCGCATGTAATTGTTCTTCCCCTACTGACATTTTACTAACTGAAGCCTTTTTTATAAACAAGAATTTCACCATACTTGATGTTTCAGTTTCAAAAGATTGGTAGTACAACGTTGGTAGTACTTATTGTATTTATATTGTTGAGTCTGTTCATCACTGTGGTTCCCACAGAAAAAGGAAAGGATGACAAGCAAATACAGTATTTTAATCAGACTCTCACCTGTGTAAGATATTCTGATGGCTCTCAGAGGAATGTTTGCAACCTTGATGACTTTGCACTGAAGGAATCTGAAGACCTTATCGCTTATGTCTTCTGTTGTCAGTTTCTGAAGAACTTTTCTGGAGCTGGGCCCGGCTATGCCCAGGACCCCTATGTCATCAGTGACATTGTTAATCTCTACGTTGTAGCCTCCATTAGTTGCCTCCTGTTCAATCCACCTGGCCAAAAAAAAAACTCTCAAAATTCAAACTTATCTGTCCAAAGCTGAAAAAGCTTTTACTATACTTTCTCTTACTGCTTTGTTGACACACTGTTGCTTGCAAGCTGTAAGTTCCTTTACTCTTCTTTTTAAACTACTAAACTACTAATGAACAATTTCTTGTATAAATGGGATTTTTTACAATTAACCAATTGTACTTCATTACAGTACATTTAATTTATCACGGTTTTGTAGGTCACCCTGCATAGATAATTAAGAAATTAAGAAACAAAATCTGAACTACAATAAGAAGGTTCTGGCTGGTGTATGTAACATAGCTAGTTTGGTTTTCCCTATTAAGATATGGGTACATTTATGGAATATTTGAAAGGCATTGCAATTATTATAGTACTAGCAACAAAACAATTCAAACAAAACCAACGACAGAGGTAAATGTACAGCAGCTCAGACCAGCAGGTATCTAACTGTAATAAGAATTTTAATCAGCTTCAGGTACATACAGTTCTCAGAAAGGCACACTCATACAGTCTGAATATAGTGAACCTCCTAAACAGCTACTAAATCCCATTTCCCATTTTTTGATGGCAGTTTAGGTTATGGGTTGCAAATGGCATTTCTAAACATTTGATAATAATACATTTATTAAATTTATTGAATGTGATAATAACCAGCCTTTACCGTAGATTAACTGTGTTATTAGCAATAATACCCTTACCCTGACCGTAGTCTGATGACTACTAGTCTAACCCTGTCCATAAAATCGGGGTTATGTAATAAGCTTTTATAACTGTTTATTCATAACATGTTAGTGATAGATAATTAAGAGATGATTAAAGCAATGACCGAATCTAAAGAGTGACAATTTGTTTTATAAATTTCCTTTAAATAACTACATTTTTGTTCAACCTTTAAGATCTCAAAAATGAGTGGTGAATGATTTCTACTTATACACAGCATTCAAATGGGAGCTAATGAATAGGGTGCTTGCACACAAAGGCAAGGTTCTAACATTACAGAGAGCTTAAATACACTGCTGAGGAGGCCCCTAACTTCACATATTTCTGTTAGTAAGTAAGAGACATTTAATTCTTGTATAAATCTAGCTTTATTGGAAACCATGTATAATGTTATGGTAACAGTGCCAGAAGCACTGTAGTGCACTGTCATCCAGGCTATAGATTAAGGGAAAACTGTGCAAAACTGTCACTGTTGTTTATGCAATGAACAGAAAACAAATTGAACCCCAATGTTATTTAAACCTTAACTGGCTGGAAATTCACATTCCACACAAAAGTACTACTCAAAACAAAAATCCCACTGTTGAGTGTGAGTTTCTATTGCCCTGGTAACCAGCTGGATCTGAGACATACTGGAGAGTGACAGAAATGAACATGACCCGACCTGAGGTCATGAAGTTCAGAACCAGAGCCAGTGACCAAGAGGAACTCTCCTGGGGAGAGATGGGTAACTGTAACTTCAGCATACACCCGGCCCTGAGGAGTCAACATGTGGCTAATGTTTGTTACACCAACCTGAAACAAGTCAGAGCAGCGAGAAACATAATTGTCAGAAAAAAATATTCCATGTACATTAATACAACACGTCTACCCCCGTAAAGGCTACTTCATATGTTCCAGAGTTAAAACGGTAGTTGATACCTTCAGCAGTTTTTTAGCTTATCTCTTGATAAGTAATCTATTACATGAACTTGACTGAAGTTTTATCACAGACACAATTGATTTTCATGGATTATTATATTTGATGCTGACAAATTGTTTTAGAGAAATATATTAGTGAAATCCAGGTTTCTGCAGTAAGTGGTGTTCGTAGAACTGTAGGTGGCGCCCCTCTCTCAAAATTAGAATTTCCACACAAAAAAAAACATGTACCAGTATGGTGACTGGGGCTTCAGTGGTGTAGAAGGTACCACCATTTGAATAGGACACTGAAGAGAAGCCTTGACCACTGCCATTAATGATCCCATTCCACTGGCTGTAAGACTAGGGGTGTTAACATTGCCCCATCCATCCATTTTCTAAGTGTTTCATCCATTTCAGGGTCACAGAGGAGCCGCAGTCTAATCCGGCAAGCAACGGGTGCAAGGCAGAGTACTGCCTAGACAGGGTGTATTGCAGGGCACACAATCAAACATTTACTCACACAAGGCCCAGTTTTCCCAGAAGCTATGAACCTAACAGCACATTTTTGCAATGTGAGAGAAAGCCCATACAAGCACAACAAGGACATACAAACTCCACACAGCTTTCTGTTCTACCTTTAAGATCTCACAAATGCAGAGTGGTGAATGATTTCCACTTCTAACTGGTATTTAAGCCAGAACCCTAGTGCTGCAAGGCAGCAATGCTAGCCACTGCACCACCCTGCCACCCAGACGGGGAACAATTACATTAAAATAAATTCAAACACATACATTAATCATTTATCAACTTAACAGGTGGTTTGTAAACTTTAGAAATCTAGAGACTAAATTCTAAATACCTATCAGCCCTCAAAGACTGAATTAAGAGAACCCATGTTCTTTTAATTGATTAGATTACTTTCTTGATCCATCAATAGTCTACAGATGTAACCAATTTTTACACCTACAAGAACAACCGGAACACAAACCTAAACACACAATAAAGAGAATGTACTGTACCAACACACTCCTACATGATTTTCAAATATTAAGTTACTAAATTGTAAGTGGAAAACCCACTTATAATAACATAGCACCTTACAAATGCATTACCTAGGTAAGTAGGATAATTAAAACATACCTTCGGCACAACATTGGCAAAGAGTCGGTCCAGAAGCTGAATGGAGTCTTTCCCCTTGACAGTAAACTTCCCGAAGGGGGTGAGGTCAATCACTCCCACCTTCTCCATCACCAACCTGCACTCCCGACCAATGGGCTTGAACCAGTTTGTACGTCGGAAACTGGGTCTGACAAAAAAAAAATCATTCACACTGAATTTTTACTTTAATTCAAAAAGCATTTTTTAACTGACACTAAATGATGAAGCAGCTTCAGTGGTCTCAGAAACAAAACACAAGATTGCATATTTAAAAGATAATGCAGAAAAAGCCAGAAAGACACTACAAATTGTCAGGCCCAAATATGCCAATTTTCTGTTTTCAGTATTGTAAAGTCTGAAGGGTGTTACCAAGCTGTTGACTGTGGGAATAAGCAGTTCAACCTACAGGAGGGGTTTCTTTTAAAAAATGAATAGGACCTTCTCACCATTCCTCACCCCAAAAAACACATGGTCCAAACACCCTGAGTTGGCAACTATCCCAACACAGCCATAGTCCATGATTAGGACACTAGACAAATTCTTCAAGTTATTGCATAACTTCCTGTGCACTCCAAAATAATCACACCTTCATCACAGGAGATGTCCTGGACTTTCAAACCAGCAGCAGATTAATCAGTGATGCGCAGAAAAAAAATCTTATTTATAGAATATACAAGGGCAAAGGCAAAGTCGAGAAAAGAAAGTGTAAATCAAACATATTTAAAAAAAATAAGTTCATCTTTCCAGTATTAAAGATTTCAAATGATCAGATTCTGTTCCGAATTGTTAACTTACAGATGACATTGCCCAACAATCCTTTTGTACAATCCACATATTTACCAATATACTGTACATCACACATGAAAATTGAATCTATCCTTGTCTGTTCCCTTAATATTTTACAATTATTTTACTTCTAACCGACTTATATACAGCAATTTATTTTTGGCCGGAATTGTTCTTGTCTTGGCTCCTGGATATGAACTCTCTAACCCTGGCAAGGGTCCTCCACCCAACAAACGTCAAGCCAATCGTCTTTTATAACTCCTCACAGGCAACACAGTCCCATACCTGAGATTCATTGCCATTAAGAAGAAAGATTAAGATCACTTTATTAGCCATATACAATTTCTTGCATTAGGAATTTGTCTTTTCACATACCCCAACTTGCTCTCTATGAGACACACAGGCACACAGATGGGGAGAGAGAAGCTTGGAGTCAGAGCACAGGGTCAGCCATTTATACGGTGCCCCTGGAGCAGTTGGGGTTAAGGGTCTTGCTCAGGGGCCCAACAGAGTAGGATTTTTCTGCTGGCTGTGGGATTTGAACCTGCAACCTTCCAACCACAGGCGCAGATCCTTAGCATCAGTGCCACCATGCCCCTCACCAACAGCACTACGAACCTGTGTCATAGACACACCCCTACTGTCTTACCTGTATCCTGTTTCATCACCAGGCTTATAAAACCAGTGAGGCTGTTCCCAGCCGGAGTGGAAACCCATGGATGCTTTTGATTTCAGGATTTCATAAATTCCACTCACTCTCTCTGTAGGTCTGCCTGCAAATCGCTCTTCTTTGGGGTACCCGACTATGAAATAAGGGGTACAGAACATTCTTTAATCCCTTTTCCCTTTCATGCAGTTGAAAACTAGTTTTATACAATATTGTTATACAGTAGGTTTGGGGGATATAAAGTGTTTAACCTCACCTCACTGCACTTATCTTTAAGTGACAATGGACATACTTTAGGGGTGTTTGGATAGGAGCTGCACACCACAATCTTATTGACTGAGGAAGCCACAAGGGCAGGAACCCAGCTGGCCTGCCAGTTTACTAATATTTGCTAAGACTGCACCTTTCTTGGTTAGGTCATTAAGCCAACCTTTCTTGTGATGGTACCACAACAAAATGTATTTAATTTACAGTATCATGGTTTAGGACTGAAGATACAGTATTGGGAGAAAGGACCGTACAGAGAAGATGCTGGAGAGAAGAGCAGAAATTTTGAATACATTTTGAATGGGTCCATCTTTTTGCAGACCAGTCTGCAGAACTTGCCCCTCTTTTAGGATTTAGATAAAGCATTGTTGCCCTAATAGTTGTAGAAATATTTCATTCATATTATTTATAACCTAGATTAACATATTGTGCATTTCATCTTCTCAGGTTGAAAATTACCATTAACTTACCAATGTTGTTAAATCCATAAGATTCACGGGCTTTTACTGCAGTGTATGGTACTGTAGTCCATTTGCCATAGCGATTGGGGTCCACTTCAATGAGGTCAAAGGGAGGTTCTCCCTTCATGATCCAGTCACTCAGGAACTTCCCAATGCCACCAGCGTGAATGACTCCATACCTGGAGGGGTACAGTCCACTGACATTACTGCCACTGCCATTCATTAGTAAAAACATTCAGAAAAAGGCCAGAGTGTTAAGTGTGTCTGGGAAAGTATACGACAGTGGAAATTTAATTGATGTGTTGGCATACTTTATTATTTTCTGAGGACAGTACTATCTTATTTCCTAGTTTAACACATAATTCACATGTAAAATCAGAAATCTTGTAGTCACACTGGTCGGTTGTAAATTGTCCCTCAAAACAGGATTCTGCAATAGAAATTTTCAAAGTTGTATCAAGCTATATTTCAAAAGCCATTTCCCACATCATTTTTGATTAAACTGGAATGACTGATCTAGCTTGATATTCTACACTGTATTAAAGGGTAACTGCAGTCACAATTTCTCAGACCACTTATTAAATCTCGGTAACAAAATAAATGATTGGAAAAATTTACAAATCGCAAATTTGACAAATTTTGAATTTGGTGCAAAATCATAAACTTTGTGATTACTGTATGGTAGCCGTACTGTCACAAACAGCTGGTTTTGCCATGAACAAGAGCAAGAGTTTGCACAAATTGTGATGTGAAAGTGGCTCTTCCTGCTCACTAGTCACTGTAAGTAAATTAGAAACATGGTCTCCCAGCAATGTTAAGCCTTTATTGTCTTTTTGAACGCACACATATATTTAAAATGATGCCTCACTGTCAAGCATTTGGCTATTCAGATCATATCGATTGCATACAAAACACAAAATCGGATCAGCAGAAAGTCAAACTGTTTTCTTTTTTTAAAGGGGTATTTAACTAGCCAAGGGATGGGTAATAAACATGGGCACGGACGTTTGCATGTTTCTCAACAAGATTCATTTTGATGTGTGTTTGCTTAATTACAGGTTGTGCAGCAGACATTTCACCCCACTGTGATCTCCTTGCAAAGTTACCAAATAAGTACTATTTATTGGCAAAACCGCCTCAAAGTCGATAGGTTGAATTCAATTCAATTGACTCATTCATATCAGCCGTTCAGGTGATGGCTCGGGCTATGACACAGCAAGCCCTCTGAAAATATAAGTCCTACTACAGTAGAATTTCTTTTAGATTACCCACAAAATAACCACCAATGTAATGACAGAGCACTTTTGTTAAACTTGAAAAGAAATGTATTTTAGTTGGTTTGCAGGCTGCTATTTTTTTTTGCAATACTTAAAAGTATCTAAAAACCATCATCTTGTATGTGCCCGTTTCATGAAAATATGAAAAAATTTATATAGTATCAAAATTTACTTGGTCTAAGGCATGTTGCCAATGTAATAGGGCCACTTTCATGTTACCGGACATTTTGTTCCCTTGTTCTGAATCCCGGACAATTACGGCAACAAAGCGCTACGCATACATCGAAACCTCATCTCTTTTGTGGTTGTAAACATTACTGTGTCCTTGGTAGTTTCATTATGGTTTGAAATGCCCTCATTATTACCCATTTATTATAACCCCAAAATGTAAAAATAGCCGTTCACCTTTGAACTAATATAGAGTGATTTCACCAGAGTGTAAAGAAACCAAAACAAATCCCCACTCTGGAATGCAAATTGTAGAAGAAACCTGAGTGCTTGAAGTACACAGGGGTATTGAAGTGTCGTTTAATTTGAAGCTAACAGCTATGACTTTATTTAGCACAGCACTCTTGAACTTTCTATTCATGTTAACATCATGTATGACTACAATAAAATATGCTTCTAATCAAGACTGTACCTACCCAAAGCCAATGGCCACCCAATAATTCTGAGCTCCTACGTGCGGCCCAACCATGGGGAGAAGGTCTGGGGTGTAGGTGATTGGACCTGATACTATGTTGATGATGTCAGCTTTCTTCAGCACCGGAACCATCTCCATTGCACATTCAACATGCTCCATGATCCTGTCCAAATCTGATTCAAACAGCTCTTTCCCAAAGCCTGGAACAGCAACCAACATTCAGAGTGCTTGTGCAGCTCAAGCAGGTGAAGAGACATGTTCGTATTATTTGCAGAAGATCAGCCAGTGCACAAACTTGTCTAGTAGTAGTAATGATATGCAGTTTTACCCATAAAGAGAAAACAAAATATGAAAACATCCTCAGCATCTTTTGTCTAAGAGATGTATGAAGAGATTAATCCCATTGATCAGCATCTAGTTTGAAAACCGACGTTTTCATTTGGAATTACATTCACAGGTAAACTTTGCCACTATCCATTATATGGCTGCTGTAATTTTCTTGACATACTGTATATTTCTCCTCTGTTTTTAGTTACTGTTAAATTATCATTTGATAAATGAAGTTTTTATTGAACTAAGATTTTTAAGAATAATAATGCATATAAATGATACTCCCTTCACATTTTTTAAGGTTCCTTGGTAATCATGGACGATTTGTATTTCTGCATCGTGTGGAACAGATATCAAACAGTTACAATGTGTGTAACCAATATATCCCATCACATTCATTTCTATTTACTGTGATGTGCAAAGATTAAATACAATGTAAAAATTAGCCAGCTGGATGAAGTTCTGCCCAACAATAGCTTTCCAAAAGAACAAAAATCCTGAGAGTTCTTTTTAAAAAAAGTCACTCAAGAAGAGGTCATTCTCCTCTACATGTAACTCCTACAATCTAACCAAACTAATGAATAGAAAGCATCAAACTTTAAAAGTTCCCTAAAATGCTCTTGAGATCTTGTTTCAATAGGTCTTTTAAAAAAAAGTTTCTATTGAAACAAGATCTCAAGAGCATTTTAGGGAACTTTTAAAGTTTGATGCTTTCTATTCATTAGTTTGGTTAGATTGTAATATGTGTGAAAAAGAGATGAGCTTTGCAGAGTGTATTGGCACCCAGAGAGCTCACCAGGCTGAGGGAATTGGCAGTCTTGCCAGAAAGGTGAGGCTACCCAGCCCCCCGTCTCAGTATTGTGAGAACTGAGCCAGGGAGTTACTGCAGAGGGTGAAGACGGGGTGGAGGGAGGTGTACGAGAGAGATATGCCTGGGAAGTCCCGGATGCAAGACTTAAATATGTAGGTGAGCAGAAGTGCGCAAAGTTAGGATCTTATCTTCTTCCCAAATTACTATGATAAAATTAACAAAAAAAGTTTTTTTCCGATCTACCTGGGGGAACACCATCTGTTATCCAGGAGTCCTGCAGCTTCATCTTCTCCTGTTTCTCGTACGGCCCAAAGAGCAGCCCGTCCCGCTCCTGACGCAGGTAGTACGAAGATTCCAGATCTCGGATCACAGCAAGCTCTTTCTTCAAGGCCTTTACCTCCGGGATAGTGGAAGTGACGACGTACTGATGGTGGACAGGCATGATGGGGTGCTCAAAGCCAATCATTTTCCCCACTTCTCGGGCCCAGAAGCCTACCATTCAGAGATAAACAAAAACAAAACAGGTGTTCTGCTTCCAGTCTAAAACACAACAGTCTTTTTTGTTTTGTAAATCAGTTTGCATTTTAATTTTAAAGAATAGAACAAGAAGAGTACAACGCAATCACCCTCTAACACAATAAACTTAAAATCCAATTACTTAAAATATTGCTCCTTGTTATTTTATTGTTACAAAACATACTGTGTACAGAACATTCATCCATCCATTTTCTATCCAGTACAGGGTTGCAGGGGAGCCAGAGCCTATGCCAGCAAGCAATGGGTGGGAGGCAGGATACACCCTGGACAGGATGCTAGTTCATTGCAGGACATCAACAGACCCACACTCACACCAGGCCCACATTTCCCAGAAGCCAACTAACTTACCAGTATAACTCTGGGAGGGAACCAGAGCACCTGGAAGAAACCCATGTGAACACAGGGAAACGTACAAACTCCACACAGACATCACAGCACAACTTAATCTCAGGATCCCAGCACTGTTAAAGCAGCAATGCTAACCACTGTGCCGACATGCCACCCCTGATAAACAGCTGTGTTTTATTGTTTGCTTCCACCATGGATTCAGACATACCATCATTATATACATTATGTAAGTACTGTATATATAGTATATAGTTGTTATATTTTGACAAGTCACACAATTAATTGGATGGCCCATGTGCAATAATAATGGTTTGCACAAGTTTAGAATAGATACACCTGTCATTCCTCTGTCAGATAGTGAATTTCAAGCAGACCAGAAACACCAAGAAGATTTAAAAAAAAACCACAGGGACAAAGTTGTACAAAGGCACAGATAGGGAGATGGGACAACCATTGGAAGAGGACAAATACTATATGCATGAAAGAAAAACCCAGAAAGACATACTATAAAAATCTGTTAAAAATATATATATCGACATACAGCAGATTATTATTAATCTCCATTAATAATAACTGCTTGTTCCATTTTAAGACCCCATCACTAATGTTTAGTGAACTTTTATTTTCACCATTAAGATCTGTATTGCATTATTTTGTGTGCAGTCCTTTGTTAAAAAAGTTTGAAAAATTCTGCTATAATTATTTTTCCCTATTTGCAAAAGACACTGACATTCTATCACCAACTATATGTATTCTCACAATGTATGCAAAATAGTCAATTCTTTTACAATAGTGACAATTTCTTAATATTTACTGCATTTTGTTAAAAATTAACCAGTTTTTCATTTATAAAAAAGGAGGTTCAGGGAGACCTCTGAACAGGGGACAGGGAAATATTTTTAGAAAATAAATACTTCAGGCACAAAATTATATTATTATTTATTTTATTAAGATCTTAAATTATTATTTTACTTGTCACTGAAAACAAGAATATGCTGATATCTTGGCATGGATAATCATTGGCCATATTTTAAAGATCCCCATTTTTGTAGAACTAAAGTAAACTACTCTATCTACTCTATCTTTATATTATATAATCCTCTGCAAGTACAAAGTGACAGAGTAACACACTTTAATATTCTTGGTACATGGCCAGACAGAACATTCATCCAGTTGTGAAATCTCTTCAGATGGAGATCAGGGTATTTCTGGAGTGACCATGTGAATCCTGCTGCTTGTTTTTCAACACTAGTAGTAACTTGCATAAACCAGTTCTGGATGGTGAGACACAAGATGTTTGGCACAGCTGTTGACTTGGGCTATTTCTGCCAAGCTGTTAGCAAACCTCGACAATCATTCTATATCGGTTCACTGAACAAAACAGCTGGGTCGACAACATATTGCCGGAGGCTTGTAAGGGGATATTGAACTTTGCCCTCTACTCCTGGGTGAACTGTTCCACTTGACATCCACTGTGAAATCGTCACAGCTCAAAAACCATGACAGTGACCTTGAACTTGAATGAACTTGAATGAAGACTGGAGATGCATCGCTGGTTGTGCTGAGAGAAACAGAGCTAAGCAGGTTCTAACACAAAGCAATCACCAGTAGTAATCACGCTTAAAGAGAAACATAAACCTAAGCCTGACTTAGTTTCATCATTGGACAGCAAATGAACCAACATTGAATTTTCCATTAAAGTAATAATAATAATGACCATTAAGCATTTTCCCTAGTCCATTGTGGCTACAACCAATAAAGCTTCATTTATTAAACTACTGTATATAATAAATTACTAGACTCTTAAGGCCCTGGACCTAACAAGGTTCCTGAAATAGAAATAACTGCACAGTCTAATGGCAGTGGTGTTTATATAGTGTATACTGTACATTAAATATAAATGCATATCTCTGCATGGATTTTCTAATTTTATGGTCTCATAGATTAATCAAAATGAACAAGCAGATCATATTAGAAAAGCAAAAATGGGACGAATAAGAACAAATGGCACAGATTTTCTCTTCATATTGCCTGCAGTATAAATGGCAGGAAAATATTAAAAAGTTCATTCTACAGCATACTGTACATGAGTGTCAGCTGCTCACTAAATACACCACTTTCTGCTTCTAGCTCTTCATGTGACATGACCTGCCACAGGTTCATTATCACAATTGCTTAAAAAACAGTATACAGGCATCTGGGCCAGGGATTTCCTATCCTGGTCTACTAGCGCCAGTGTATCTGCAGGTTTTCTTTCCAACTCAGTTCTTAACGCACTTAACCTTGGTACCTGTCTTAATCTACCAGTTTGTCTATGGACTGTGGGAGGAAACTGAAGCACCCAGTTTCTCCAATTTTACCAGAGGAAACCCACAGAAACACAGGGAGATCACACAAACCCCATGCAGATAGCACCCCAGCAATTGAACCCAGGGCCTCTTGGCTGCAAGGCAGCCATGCTAACCACTATGCCTCCCTGAAATCTAACTTTTTTAGAAACTTTTATGTTGTGTTAATTGTACCACCTGTTTTAGTAAATCTCAGATTACAACCCTGGAAGATTTATAGCACTTCCAAATTCTTTTGGGTTGTTTTCTAATAAGGTAAGAAATGTGTTTGTTTGGAACAACATGGGCAATTTTGATTAACCTGGTGTCTTGCATAGCGAACAGCACCAAAATAATCTAAGAGTTACTACTGAGATTCATAACCAACAACTGGGATCAAAAGTCTTCAATGACAAATACAAAACAAAGAATGCTGATCCTGACCACTACTGGGAAGCAAAACAGTATATTTTATAGCATGTTCTTATTACTGTCCACTCCCACTCTGTAAGGACAACAGCTGCAGGTATGTGATCTGTTAACCACAGTTCTAGCCAACGAAGAGAATTTTGCAAGCTCAGAGAAATGCCAAGCAAGGGTCTACAGTCTCATCTTACATATACAGTATCTGCCACTTCTGTAGACAAGGAGGGCATAATCATTGCCTGCACTTGAGTGTGTGATAGGGAAAAGAACCCCACATCGACACTGACATGATGTGGTTTTTGCCTTATTACTACTTGTGTGGTGCCAGTGGCTTATTTAGAGGGTGATAACAACACAGTCAGAACTGCATGCATCCTATTCAATTTGACTCCATAAAGAGACAGACCAGGTATTTTGAAGTTGCCACTGAATCAGTAAGAAACAGGCAGTAGTGATAAGTGAGTGAGACCAATTCCTGTGTTTACTGCGTTGAAACACCTTCATTAACTAGTATTTAAAAAATCATTCAATGCTTTTTGTCTTTTAGGCTTCTTAAATAAAGAATGTCTCTTTTAATCAAGCATAAGTGTTGTGGAAGTTGTTCTTTTGCTCATTCTGTCTGTATTATGTACAATAGCGTATCAAATGTTTGAATAAGAAAGTCCATGATTTCAGTAAAAAACAAATTTTCTGTACTGAATGTTTTTAAGTTGGAAACCATAAATTACAGAACAATAGTGTTTGGTAACTCCTATTATTATCAGTTCTGATTTAGAGATGTTTTTGTGTGAGATATATACAGTAGCTAATTTTCTGGAATTATTACGATTAAGAACAACTGCGTGAGTTTAACTTGTTGTCATTATCCCTCCTGAACATCAGGTAATAAGTTCCATTTGTTTTATTTTGTGCTTTGAATTAGATTACTATAAGGGAAATGGAAAAGACAGAGACCTGAATTAAATATTATACATTTTTCTATGTCACATGATAAAAAAAACCTTTATGTATGTGAAAAAGAACACATACTTTGGTCCAGCTTAATTAAATTGATATGCAAAGATAGATAATCCAATTATAAATAGTTGAAAAACACTGTATTTTGTCTATTTAGTCTATGTATAGTATATTGAACATGTACAGGCATTTCATCAGCAGAACACCTTCTCTACAATATTTACAAATGTTGTATGTCTAGAAGACATACTGTAATCATCTAGGATAACAATATACTGTATATTAGCATAAAATATTACCGGACAATTAAGAGAAACATACAGTATCCTTGTCATGGTTGTTAGCAGCAACATTTACTCAGACTAACCCTATTTTAGATTCTATACTTTTTATTGTTTAGTTTGAACAGATCAATTTCTGAGAATGAGTAACCTACAGTTGCATTTTGAACATGAGAACTGTATTGTGAATTCAAGTTCAGCCCCATCCATTCCTGACAATAGAAATAAGGATTTTAAACCGGCTATTTTTAAAAAGTAAGTACAGTACTTAAAAGTAGTTGGGAGGCATCTAGTTAAAAGTCTAGAAAGTGAAGTCTTGAAATTTAACTGTCTCTGATGTTTTCTGGGTCAGCTTCAGTTCAGTGTAGTTGAATCCTGTTCTTTAGCCAGTGTTAATTTCATATGGTGAACAAATGTAAAAAAAAAGAGCAACAGTACAGTACACCCTTCTTTATGGGATGCCCAAAAGCTTGAAAGTCTAAATACCCTTGAACTCTAGCTTTATACCTATCCCTTGCTGATTAGAATCAATGATGAGACTGAATTTATTTCTACCCTAGGTATGAAATACTAATGAAAATAAAAGTTTCTTTGTCTGGAGTTTATCTTCCCTTTTCACTGTTTCCTTTCTCTAAGTCACGATCTTTAACATGCTGGCTGTCCCCTTACACTGCTCAAGAATTTCTTTATTCACAGCTTGATTTGATCAGATTATATGCGTTAATTTTTAAACACAAATCAACCACCTGGCTTTTAGTGTGGAATCTTTTGGTGTGGAATGCAAGGGAAGCCCCTTACATTCAGTGAGGGGCTCATCACAGTGAAATGCAACTATTCCCCCCAAAACACTTTCAGTTTTTACAAACAAAATAAAAACGTCTGTTCTGTAACACAGGGAAGAAATGGTTGATTGAAATGAAAAGGTCACATTTAGAATTTTTATCGCACTAACTGAATCAGTCCAGGGAAGGTCACATTTTAGATACACTTCTGTTTACTGTGTAACAATTTTTATCAACTAAAACAAGAACTGGCCTTGAATGGGAACTGGATGAAAAGAGAGAGAAATGCTTTGGCACAAACTGGCTAGGGCCATAAATGCATTACACAGAGGGATCTGGCAGCAGAAAGGCTACAACTAGCAGATTCATGTGACTTAAGCAACGAGGACAAACTGATGCTGGGGCATGTTAGGATTAGTTGACCATAAAAATCAGATTAATAAAACAAACAGTGCTAAATAAACTCCTTAAAAGTGCATAGGATACAGAAATCTGTATTGGGTGATTATGATCACAAAACCTTGGCTCTTTTTCATTAGTATTCCAGAAAAAGTTAATAATGCACATTGCATGAGTTACAGTACATTGTGACTTTTCATGGGATGACATCACGCTCAAAAGCAATATCATTGAGTTGCATTGTAGACTATTTACCTCCTTAAGAGTATTGTGTGTTTTATTGACACAAATTACACAACACTAAATACAGGATTAAACAGAAGATGCACAGGATTCACATGGAGATGCATTGACAGTGTATGTACAATATGCATGTTTCTCTAAAGAAAAATAACTACATTTGTCTGTGTGTCTTTTTATTACTAATTGCACAATGATGAATATATCACAAAACAATTATCCTTAAGCAAGCAGCTCAAAAATAAAAAATAAAACATATTTTAGTGTACAAAGGACCTTCCAGTTCACTGAAAATTCTAAACATTTAAAACAAGAGATTTGAATTGTTCACGTAAAGGCAAGTATTTTGTGTATGGGTTTTCAAATCAATATCCCAGGGGTATATCCACACACATAACAAGCCAACAGTATCTGCACATGAACAGGATAGCATTTAAACTACTGTATATGCTTATCTTTAATTTCTTAATTTGCTTCACATGCAGTTGCTAATCTAAACCCAAAATGTACAGTATATCAATTTGTCTGACTGCTAGTTAACTGAAAACAAGTATGTCTGTAACTGTTTAGTTAAACATATCTGGAACTCTTATTTGTTTCCCAGTTATGTTGTACCATTGTATAAAAAGGGAGATAACCCAAATAATTAATGATTATTCCCTCTAATATCTGCTGCAAGATTAATTCTAGAATACGTAATAAACAATTAACTACATTGTCCTCCCAGATACAAAAAATAGGCGTGCATTATTAGAAAGAATTGCTGTTAAGTCTGGAAATCTATGCATGACTTGGCTCTCTGCTTTACCACAGCTGGTATTCTATGAACAATATATATATATTTTTTATATCTTGGGCCAATAAAAGCAAAGCCATGCATTTTTAACACTGGAAAAATACTATTGACACTTCTATGGTCATATACTGTATACTACTATGACAATCTAAATTTCTTAATGCTTAAAGCAATACTTAACAGCTTCCAACATGTTAAAGCAAAAATCTGGAAGTAATATTGACAGAAATGTTAAAAGCAAAAGAGAAGTCAGACAGAATTAAATTTAGTCTTGGGTCCTGGCTTTCTTCATGTGCTTGTGACCCTTCTGTGTGGAATTTGCATGTTTTTTCTCCTACTAATTTCACTTTCACTCCAAGAGGGTCTCCTGGTTGCTGTGAGCCTCACCAGCTCAGACAGCTTTCTAATAATGGGTGGATATGATTTTTGACATGTACTGTCAGAAGACAGCCACTGTCAGAGTAGAGTCTGCTGGCTCTAATTGCATCTCTGACATCAAAACATGGATGAGTCAAACTTTCCTTCCTTTAAACTGCAACAAGACTGGAATTATGCTTTTCGGCATGCCACATCAACCTACAGTATGTATAGCTAATGCAGTAACCCTATCTGTGGATGGTACTGTACTTGGGTTTCAACCTAAATTGAAGAACTTGGGGATGATATTTGATCCAGGCTTGACATCTGACCCTTATGTGTAACTTATTATCAAAATATCAGTCTCCTACCTCAGAAATATTGCCAAACTTTGTCCTATGTTGTTGCTAAGTGTTGCTGAAAAGTTGGTCAACAATTTTGTTTTCTCTCATATTGATTACTGTAACTCCCTACTCATTGGGGTATCACAATCCATATTGAACAAACTACTGTACTGTATATCCAGAATTCGGCAGCCAGAATCCTGACAAGGTCTAGTGTAAGTGATCACACCACTTCTATCCTGGAGTCCTTGCACTGGCTTCCTATCAGGTTTCGTGTTGACTTCAAAATCCCCGTGCTCACCTATAAAGCTCTGCATGGCTTAGCACCTCAGTACCTACCTGTGTTACTATCATCCTTTTCCCCACCATGCAACCTTTTTTCATCTAATTCTGGCTTCCTGTCTGTCCCCATAGCCCATGAACACTCTATGGGTGACAGGGCCTTCTGCTGTTATGCCCCAAAGCTCTGGAATTCTATCCCTAAGAATATAATGGAGTCACATTCCCTGAGCTCTTTCAAATCTAGATTAAAAAGTTTCTTTTTTAGAAGAGGTTGTATTTGTCTGCCCCCTTTGCTTTCCTACTTTATTCCGAACCCCCATCTACTATCCCCTCTCACTATGCTTTTTTTTGGTCTGTACAGCACTTTGAGAAGCCATTTTTAAAGAAGCTAAGTATATAAACTAAAGTTATTTTATTAATATAACTGATATAGACTATACATTTTGCCTTTTTCAGCAATGTGATTCTTTAAAGCTGATCTTGTTACTGCTGTTTTAGTTTCTGACTAACATTCCGTCCCAAACAATGTTGCCAAGTCACTTTCTGAAATGTTGCAAAACCAAGAAGTTTGCCTTTTGTCTAAACATTCAATCTATAAAATACATTAAGAGTGACTTAAAGAAAAGCCCAAGATCTGTAAAGTTTGTATAAAAATACTCTTCCATCCTTAATATGAAAAAGATGATTGATTACGGTATACTTCATACTTTCGCAAACTAACACCTCAGTAACCAGCCTGCACTGAATAATTACCTTGCCAAAAAATAACAGTGAGAACTAAAATCAGGCAAATATACAGTATACTGTAAATGTATAAATGAGACACCATTGATTACAGTGGTCATGAATACACTCTTAGGTTAATACTAATTAATAGTTTCAAAATTACCCTATTAATTCATAATCATGTATAATGGGATTGATAAAACCTATAAGCAAAAACTCCAAAGGATTGAAAACATCACCAAAGCATTACATTTTTACTAAAAACAAGTGTAGCTTCTGTCTGGCTCAGGTATTTTTGTGAAAAACAGACTTTGAACTTGTAATGAAATGGGCTTTTAAATGTGGGCTACAGGGTATGCAGATAACCTGAAAATTGTTTCTGCTGCCCATGACCATAAAAGCAGAAATCCTTTAATTTGCTGGCAAAATCCTTCTCACACTGATACAGATTGTAATGCTCAAAACGCAGAGAAATAAGTAAAAATAAGCTCACAACTCTTTTCAAAGGACAAGGTTCACATATGTGCAAATGCAGGAGAAGGCAGGAGACATGGCTCAGTGCCTATCAATTACATTGGAGGAGAGAGTTTGTTTAAAATCCAAGGCCTTTTCTATACTTATAACAGAAATAAACTGCTTTAGCCCAGTCATTGCTGTTGAAAACAACCAAAATCTTCACAAAAATGTTGGTTATAATTGAAAAGCAAATCAATTAACAAAAATACCTCAAAACTGAAAGGTGAATGATCAATTAAATGTTGTTGAGTGAACACAGTACTTACTGTACTGTATATTTTTACTTTTTATGTGGTTTTATGCATTAACCTTAAATAGCTACTGTTAACATATGACCTCTCCACATTAATTTTGCACAGAATCTGAACTGAAATAATAGAATTAGAACAGAAATTATAACCATCCAGAAATGCATGACAGAAAGTAATGTCCAACCCCAGTCTCCTGCCATTGAAATTCAGTTTTCTAGTTTTCTGAACACACCTAAAAGATACAGTTTTATTCCTTCAGCTAATTTCTGTAAAATACCTTTAAAATAATTGCAGCAAATGTGAAAATTTAACTGAGGTCTGCAAATGTTATTGCACTGATATTAATGCAATGACAGTACTAACAAGGGAAACATCTGTCACCACTACCTTTTGACCACTATCAAATAGTACTGATCAAATCTAGAAACTCGAAAGTATACTTCCATTCCTTAAAATATTTGTTGTGTTCTATACATTTATAACAAGACATCATGTGAAAACATGCCTCTTCATCTTCAAACAGTAGCAGAATAACTACTAATAGCAGAATAATTCAACATGGCATATTCAGTGGAGCTTAATATATAGACTTGGGAAGTAAGAGCAGGAGGGGAACAAGAGTTGAAACACGCACCTGTGGCATTAATAATGCGGTTGGATTTAATGGTCCCCTGTGGTGTTTCTACAATCCATTTCCCATCAGCTGTGGGAGTGAGGCCTGTGACCGGCGCGGGGTAGTAAATCTGAGCCCCATACTGCCTGGCTCCTGCAGCCAGGGCCATAGTGAGAGAGTAGGGATCAATGTGACCATCTCCAGGATTATACAGCCCCACCAACACCTGAGAGAATGTAAACAGAGACAGTGCATATACATGTATGCATTCTTCATCCTTACAGTTTCAAACCTGTGTGAGCTGCAGGAAGTTACACAAGAAAGCAACCCTGTTGTTTATGTACTGTAGATTCGTCTATGTCCTTGTCAAGACAATGCAGAGAAGCAACAGAAAAGCAAATAGGATGCTGTACTGTATATCAGAAAGTGTAGCATTTAAATCCAGGAAGGTTTACTATATCAACAACGCACTAGGAAAACCTCATCTAGAACACTGTGTTCAGCAAATGTGGCAAAAAGAGCAATATAAATAATTCCTGGTCTCAGGCGACTCTTGTATACGGACAGGTTGAGAGAACTAAATCTCTTAGCCTGAAGTAGAGGGCATTTCATTTAAGTATTAGACTCACTTAGATACTAAACTACCAAATAAGCAAGATGGGCTTTATAACCCCCCTCTCATTTGCAAACCTTGCTTATATTCTTGCAAACAAGAGAGTCAATACTAATTTTGCTGACTCTGTCTTGGGTGGATCAAAATAATGAACTGTCTTGTATTCAGTCCAATCAGGTTGCCTCTGCATTGTTCCTTTGCCCTGTACTTTGGCACTGTGTGTCATGTGACATGTGTTTTGTAACGGTGCTCGGGACTGATGTGATCTGGACAAAATCTTTCAGGGAAAAGTGCTCGAGAATGTCTGAATACTTGCTTTACCACACATACCTTGTCCATGTTCAGCAGAGGAAAGAGCTCCTGCACCTTCTCAGGGCCTATGAGGAACTGCGGAGTGGGGTGCCAGTGGGAGCGAGACATCTGATACTTTATCTCATCAACTCTTGCAGGAGTGGAAGCAATACGGATACTGCCAGGCTGATGAAACCCAACAGCCTACAGCGATTGAGAGGGCAAACAGACCTTCATGTTAATGGTCTTCATCCATCTTTTTCCAGAGTTTTCCATATTCTATACAGAGCATTATTCCGTCCTTCACTCCTCCACTCCTTCTGCAGATAGAGCCCTACAGATGTTCAGCTAATAATGCAGATTAAATTCCAGAGATTTAATTCACAGTCAGTTAGAAAAAGTGCTGCCTACAACACCTGCATTTTAACACTAGAGCAGAAGTAAAATTAAATATTGTTGACAATATACTTATGTATATGAGAGAAATATTTTAAAAAGTTATTTAAAACCTCGACAAATGTAATATAATGACAGTCATCCGTTTATCACTTGCAATGAGATACTGGTACTGACTTCTGATGAAGAAATAATAATTCTTCTGTATATCTACTGCTGTGTCGTTATTTCTTTAATTTTGGCTAGTCTAGCTGTAATCAGTCCCCTTTTTAATCTATTTGAAATAATATTCTAGAAGCATTTTTGCCTGCCCTACTTTTTAATCCATTTGCAATGAAGTTCTAGAAGCACACATCACTAGTCCTGCAAGTATTATCTATTTGAAATTAGTTTTTAAAAGATGAATTGCAAATCCTCCTTTTCACACCTTTTTGTAATAAAGCTCTAGATGCAGCTCACCTGTTGTTTTTATACATATTTGCAGTAAGGGTTTAGAAGTATAATGACCTTCCTTGGAAATATATTCTTGCTTGATCCCAGTTCACAACACAACAGTGACCCTGTGGTCCACAGTCTTCTGTTACACAGAAAGCAGATTCATCATGCAGATATTTTGCCTTGAGCTCATCGCAGTGTTACGTCCACGTACTGCACCTGTCCACACTAATTACACCTTGTTACCTCATTTTTATGCTTGGTATTAAGAGTCACTAGCCCGTGAGCTTGCTGATTGCTCAGTTTACCTGCACTGTGCAATTCCTTTTCTTTAGACTCTCTGGATTCTCCACCTTCACCTTGATCATTGGATTTTGCCTCTTGCTTTGCGTCTATAAGATAGTTTGCCTTTTTGGATCATTCTAAAACACTCCGCGTAGGGTCTTGCTTGCTAACAGCATAGCCAGTATAACAGGCAGTTGGTGTGGAAGGTGGCTGCCTTTTAACAGTATTTTAACAGTAAGGGGTGGTTACTCTAATGCATGGTGTAGAATAATAGTGAACAGTGTAGAATACAAATATAAAACATCCATGCATTTTCTTGCTGCTTCTTCCAATTCAGGGTTGTGGGGCAGCAATGGGCACAAGGCAGGATACACCCTGAGGGAGATGCCAGTGTATTGCAGGGTAGACACAAACACACACTCGCACCTGGGTCCATTTTCCCAGGAAAGCAAGGCAGCAATGCTAATCACTGTGCTGCCCTCTATATGACTTTATATTCACGAACAGTTTTAAACAAGATTCTAGATCGTAAACACAAGTTGTTTTTTTTATATACTTGTGAGAACCCACCATTTACATTTACATTTAATTACACACCCATTTTGGGCTATAGACTTGAGTTGACTAGTAGATTTCATTTTAAAGTTTGTATCCAGAGTGGCATTGATTAAAACAAGAAAACTTTAGCTTGTGATCTTATTTCTATTTTTAGTTGCCAAACGGATCATTCCCAGAAGTGAGCCTACCTGCCCTGTTTCTTCCTCCAGTTTTTCGTACAGTTTAATGCTGTAATAGTGGATTTTCTTCAGGTTGATTCCAGGGTGATAATAAGTGGTTAAACCAGCCTAGATAAAAGAGGAAGGCAAAATGTTAATCTACAAATAATCATATGAAAAAACAGTGCATTTATATTAAGGAAAAACAACAGAAAATATACTTTTTTTTTCCTTTAGTAAGCTAGCTTTATCCTCTCATGGAACAACTACTATGGTTACAAAAAATACTTTAAAAAAAACTATGAGAATTGTATCAGAAAAAATACAAGCTCACAGCATAGAAAGGCCTCTTTTCAGAAGAACAAAATGGTGATGCTATCAGATAATGACTTTTATTATTCCTTTCTCTCTCTGTTCTTCAATTTGCTATCTCTGGGGTTGAAAATGTTCACACAATGATGACAGCACTCGATATGAAGATGTCTGACCCCTGAGGGGAATTTCCACATTTCTTATCTTCTCAATTCTCCTAACAGTATGTCCTTTCTTGAATCCCATTTTCAGTGGTAGTAACCTACAGCGTGCCAGGTAGAGCCAGCAGTGAGTTCAGACTTCTCCAGGAGCACCACATCCTTCATGCCCGCCTTGGCCAAGTGGTAGGCCAGGCTTGTGCCCACACATCCCCCTCCGATGACCACTGTTTCGGCACTGTCCTTCCACCTCTTCCTCAGGGCGCTAGGAAACCCATCACCCCTGGCAACAGACAACGAGTGGTGGTTGAAGCACTTTTTTGGGAAAATCCTCTTTTAGGTTAGAGAGTTAAAGTTTTACAATGCCCAGGATTGCTCACTTATTTGTTAGAATAACCTTGGTGACATTACACCAATCTCAACTATCCACTTGTATGGGTAAATATGTCCAGATCAGGCCAGGTTACAGTACCTGTTTGCTGAGTTTATTTGAGTAATTTCTGTACACATGCAAAAATTAGCTGTATTAGCACCAAAACTACACTTCACTGTCTCCCTTTAATTACTGACAATTTGCTTTCTACGTATTAATTGTTTGTTGTTCTCCACCATTCTCCTCCCCACTGATAGCTGGTGATAGCTGGTGTGAGCGTACTGGCACATTATTTATTTGTGTTTCTACTAAAATACTTTTTGTGCCATACATGTAATTGAATTAGTGCATTACATAAAGATATTTCTCACTCAACATTTAATTACCCTTTTAAATCTTGAATTGAAAGTTAAATTATGTGTTGGCATTGGCAGCATTTTTAACTGCTTCTATATTAATTTTAAATATACTTTTAAGTATTTTTCAGGATGTAATTTATGTAAAGTTGCAAACAAAATGCTATAATTCTGTGTTATATTGTCAAAAATTTTAAAAGTGGAAACATAAATTACTGATTTCTTATCAGAAGATGAATCTCTTCTATTAAAAAGAGCATATAAGTTAAATGGAAATAATGCATCAAAGTTGTTGCATTCTGGGAAAGCTGATACTGTGACCAAAACCATTAGAATCAGCAATGTTGTTATCTATGTGCACCAGAGCAAAGATACAAATAGATTCATGTGAAGAAACATCACTGATGTTTACTTCCTCCTTTAATTGCTTAATTAAATGCACTAATTAGAAATTGCCCAAGGTGGTTTAAACACCTTTGTGCAATCACAGATGCTGAAACAGGGTGCCTGTGTTTGTGTTAAAGAAATAAGTAAGGAATTGCAATTTAAAAACACTGGTACGTACCGTATACAGTATGACTATCTGTTGTTTTACAAAATAATACTATATAATACAATTGTATATAGGCCTTCATTAAGACGTGGCTCCAGGCAGTTTCTTTTTTATATTCATGGGTTATACATTTAACTATATTCATATAAATTAATCAGTTTATATAAACAGACCACCTTGAGGTTGTTTCCTCGTACGTCCATACACAATAACTCTGTGTAACTGTACAGCCTAGTGAAACATACAATTATAGTGGTTTGTCCCGCAGTTTATTTGTATTATAACTATTCACCACCTGTTGTAAGCCTTCATGTTCAACTGTACGTTGTGTAACAAATTAAAGGTACAGAGTTCATCGAGGGGGGAAAAGCCAACGCACTATTTATACTTTAAACCAAAAACACTCACCCCTCCCCGGTTGCATTGCTGTGCGAAGAGCTGCCTAGGGACCTCAGAAGAAATCGACACGCACTTGGGCACAAACATGCACTGCTTCGGCTCTGGGTATTAACTGCATTGAAAACTCGTAACATCTCAGGATATCTTACAATACAGAGAGTAAGAACTCTCACTCTTACCTAGTTTACCGTACGTACCCAGTCCTTACCTAACACTACACTACAGTTATTCGTAAATAGTCGACAGGACCCTCCTACTTGGCTTCTACAAATTTAGAGCAGCGCCACTGTAACCAATCACTGCGAAGACGTCCTTTCAGATTCTCGAGGAATATCCTTATGTCTAGCAAGGCTAATAGTAGATGTTTAAATTTTTTTTTTAGCAGAACACAATTTATCCATAAAAACAGCTTCTTTCAGCTGTATCTTCCTTCATGTGCTTACAGTGCTAGCTACTGGTAAACGAATATTTGATTAAATGTGATGTGAATATTTTTCAGAAGACTGGAATTATTTGATTTGTAATACAGACATGACGTTCTTAAGTTGTAAAACTCACGTCTAGAAAAAGCATGAAGCACATACTGTACTTGTCTAGAAACATTACATTTTTCACTCTTCCAAGTTGGCTTTTCATGAAAATCTCATTTTTACCACATGCTTGAGACTAAGTCCCTCTTCACTCCGTTTAAACGCAAGCTTTGCTCTGTTCCTTGCTAGTGCCTAGTAAAAGTGTCGACCCCCTTCCCTGATGCCCTAATTTGTTAGATTTGTTAGATTACAAAGGTATAGACATTTTTAAACTGTTTTTTTTTTCCACAATCAAAACTGAATACTTTTATGTGTGAAAAGTGTGAATATCAGCAAAGGCAAATACATAAATACCTAAATTATGTTCATTGCAGGTATTCAGCATTCTTCGCTATAGAAAAGCTAAGTTATTTCAGGGGCACTTACTATGACCAGTCACATGAATACTTAAATAGCAAAAATGTGGTTCAGATGATTTCAGAATAAACTCTTTTGTACCTGTAAAGTCCATTAGATCCTACACAGCCAGGCAGGGAAATTCAAGCAAAGATTTAACCATGAGGGCAGTACGGTCGTGCAGTGATTGGCATCGCTGCCTCTCAGTGCTGAGGCCACCTGGGTTCAATTCCAGACTTGAAGTTCTTCTGTGTGAAATTTGTACAGTATGTTCTCCTTGAGTTTGCCTGGGTTTCCTCCTACAGGTAAAAAACAAACTGGATTAATTGGCTTCTGGTATCATTTGCCTTTGGATGAGTGTGTGTCTACAGTATTTGCCATGTAATAGACTGGCATGCTGTCTGTGGTGTATCCTGCCTTGTGCCCATTGCTTGCTGGTATAGGCTCTGGCTCCCCCTCGACCCTGAATTGGAAAAGCAGTTAGAAAGTGTATGGATGGGTGAATTCAACAATGAAGACCAAGGAGCTTTCAGAGCAACTCAGGGATTAACTTGTAGAAAGCCACAAATCAGGAGCAATTCATACAGAATTTGAAAGACACTGAATATCCCTTAAGCCATGTTATATCAAACTACTCAGACACTGCCTTGATTAGGCTGTTTCTCTAAATTAATATTGCAGAGTATATCATGTTACTGTACAAATTATGTTTGAGTGTAGTTTGGATTTCTAAAAAAGGTTGATATTCAATCATGTTTTACTTTTCTAATTTTTAAATGTTGTATTCCAAAGTACAAGTACAAAAAGAGCAAATGGATGCCTGGCAGGTTCATAGAGTCACTGGTACACTAAAATCTGAATAAAACCAAGAGAGTAATGTTCTCCCAACTCAGGTAGAGGATATCAGTCATAACCAGCTAATGATAAAGGAAAACAAAGCCTCTTCCTGGAGGTTCCTAATTTAAAAGCACTGTGTTTGGTATGGTGCTATGGAAATTGCTAGTTTGGGAAACACCGTATAGCATGTTGGTGTGGTCATGATATATAATAATTAATAATAATTGCTTACACTTATATAGCGCTTTTCTGGACACTCAAAGCACTTTACAGGTAATGGGGACTCCCCTCCACCACCACCAATGTGCAGCATCTACCTGGATGATGCGACAGCAGGCATAGTGCACCAGAACGCTCACACCACATCAGCTATTAGTGGGGAGGAGAGCAGACTAATGAAACCAATTCATACTGTAGATGGGGATTATTAGGATGCTATGATTGATAAGGGTCAATGGGAAAGTTGGCCAGGACGCCGAGGTTACACCCCTACTCTTTTCGAGAAACACCCTGGGATTTTTAATGACCACAGAGAGTCAGGACCTCAGTTTTATATCTCATCCGAAGGATGGCACCTGTTTACAGTATAGTGTCCCCATCACTCTACTGGGGCATTAGGACCCACATGGACTTCAGGGTGAGCACCCCCTGCTGGCCCCACTAACACCTCTGCCAGCAGCAACCTTAGTTTTTCCCAGGAGGTCTCTCATCCAGGTACTGACCAGGCTCACACCTGCTTAGCTTCAGTGAGTTGCAAGGTGATATGGCTGCTGGACACAATATATATGTGACATATATGAACCATGGTTCTCTAGGTACTTTTCTAGGTTTTGTTTGGTCTGTGAAAGAAGGATCACACACAAGCAGGAGAGATAAGAAAGTTGTTTGCATTTCACATGTAAACACCATTACAGGGTTTCCATAAAGCAAAACTTTTTAATGTAGGTTTTCAAATACTTTAAGGCTTCACCTGACTTTTGATTGAAAATGATCAAAGCAATTTGTTTTTCATTATTAATAGCATTGACATAGCAGATCAAAAGTCCCTATCAACTCCATGATGGAAGGAGATGTTACTTAAGATAATAATGACAAAAATAAAGGATGTCATCCCTGCTTTAATTACTAATACATCATGCTGTAAAGCACTGTCAGTCACAAAGATTGCTAAACCTTGAAAGCAGGTAGCACTGTTTGCTAAGAGGCTTCTTTCAGGGCAAAGAATCTGGAATATAGAAAAGTGCAATCTATAGCAAGTGAAAGCTCAGAAAGCAACAGGAGCAAGGCTGGGTACAACCTGGAAGTCAATTGCAGGGTCCACACAGACACAAATACAAATGCACAAACATAACATAACAGTTACTATAGCAGCCCGTTATTTTTTTGTGTAACAAAAGATAAAAACTACTGTTTATTAGTTTTGTGCAGTAAACTTAAATTTCTTTACAGCGAACAATTACAGCAGATCTTAGAACTGTTACAGCAGGCAGACAGGTCCATATCAAATGTAAGTGACGTTGTCAAAACATAACTACATACGACTGCACTATTGATAGTTATTTAAGCAATGGCAACAATGACGGTGACGTATAATGTGAAGTTTGGATTATCAGGATAAAAAGATGCATGTTCAGTATTTGTTAGTATAATTGTAGTTGTATGACTTAGTAAATACAGTTCGCACGGGTTTAAATGCTGGTTTCCAATCAGCAAGACGGCCTGGGATGACATCAGAAGCACCCACCCCTCGGGGAGTAATATATAACAGAGACTATTTGGCAGCACACATGAACTTTGTTGAGGTTTTGTTTAGTGTTATATCTGAACTTGGTAAAATGGCACCAGCGGGGTCCAAGAAAGTGAGTATACACACTTAGATTAAACCAGAAAGTTATTAATCATTTTCCTTTAGTTCTGCTACACTAACAACAGAAGCGTGAACAAAAGCGTGCAATGACTGCTTATACTTAAAAAAGAGACGTACAGTAGTGACAAAATAATATTTAAGAATGCAGTGTGTATTAACCGAATAAATACAATATTTAACAAAAAATGTCAGTGCGTAATTGGAGCGACGTTCTGTGCTTTTTAAAAAGGGTTTAAAACAGGATACTGGTTGAAGTAATATAGCTGAAATTTAAAACCTGGGATTTAGAATATCGATTTATTCCTGTCCCATCTGCGAACTGGTCTAAGCCAGTTGTGGGGTTTTGGCTACAGACCAATGGATGGGTTGTGGATGTTTGTGGTGTCCTTGAGCTTGAGCTGTTGTAGAGCTGTGCCTAGCCTAAGTATAGTTACAGTATTTAGAGCTATAGTTTGATACGGTGTAGAATAAGACCTTCCCTAAAGTGAAGCAGCTAGTGAATACAAATGGTTTAATCCGCCTAATCGTATGAAAACATCTAAATCAATTTAAATTAATTCACAATAAGGTAAAATGTCATTTGATGATCCTGGGTAAATGTTAAAACGTGTTTTGCAGGGTATTCTAGAGCGCTTGGATGCTGGGGAGATTGTTATTGGTGACGGGGGGTTTGTGTTTGCCCTGGAGAAAAGAGGCTATGTGAAGGCAGGGCCATGGACTCCAGAAGCTGCGGTGGAGCACCCTGAGGCAGGTAAGATAACTTGAGTTTATTAACGCAAAAGACGTGTTATTGAGTTTAGACTGTATTCAGTTTTGTACAGTACGTTGCGCGCCCTTGCACTGATTGAATAATAGCGCTCCCGTGTGAGTAATGTGGTTTTTAACAATTAAGATGATCTCCTCTGCTCTTGCAGTTCGACAGCTGCACAGGGAATTTCTGAGAGCGGGAGCAAATGTCATGCAGACGTTCACATTCTATGCCAGTGACGATAAACTGGAGAACCGGGGCAACGACTTGAGAATATCTGTGAGTATTCTCCATTTCTTAGGGAAAAGTGTGGGACTGTAATTTACTGCATGACTTTTCTATATCTGCAACTCCTCACACCTGAAGAAAGCTCCACGGCCGAAACGTTGTGTTTTCTTTCTTCTCTTTTCAGCATGGAATAAAACTATTACTTGTTCCTTTGCAGCCTACACATGATGACGCAGCTACCCACCTGAACTACTTTTCTATATCTGTATAACTTATTTCTGTTCTAACATATCAGTTGCTATGATATATAACATTGGATGAAATATCTGGAATATTGATCAGAATTAAATAATTACTATTGTCCTGTATGTTTAACTTGTACATCAAACATTTCTCTATGTCCCCTATATACTGTAGGTATTTAGCAGTACAGTAAGTCTGTATGTGTGTGTTTCTGCATGGATCCACCATTTTGTATACCAAGCATTTACTTCTGTCATAGGTTGTATCATAACCCTACTGTATGTTCTACTAAAATGAATCCGCTTAACTTAGTGTTTTCCGTGGTATCAACCTTTACTTTTTAAAAATGTTTTGCTCTGTTCCATTGACCTCTTTGGTTACAACTCAAATGATGACAGCTTCATTTTGTGCAAGGGAGAAAAAATCAATGAAGCAGCCTGTGACTTAGCCAGGGAAGTCGCCAATGAAGGAGATGCCTTGGTTGCCGGAGGAGTGTCCCAGACCCCTTCCTACCTGAGCTGTAAGAGTGAGAATGAAGTGAAGGCAATCTTCAAGAAACAACTGGAGGTCTTCATTAAAAAGAATGTGGACTTTCTGATTGCTGAGGTAAATGAATACAGGAGAGTTCCAGAAAGCACTAAACTATTTGTGTGTGTTACAGTACATAAACATTTAATATTCAAGAATGACGTTTTTTCTTCACATCAGTTCACAATATAGTCCTTACACACAAGGAGTTATAGATGTTGTACTAAAATAGTACAGTGTGTAACTGACCCATGCGTGTGTCATAATCTTTGCTTCTATCATTAGTCTTTTCACCAAGGACTGCATTTGAAGAGCTGTTCTAAAAGATTTGTGGAGAAGATGTGAAAGTAAGAATTCAGCTGTACTTGAACAATAAATTTCAGTTATTTCGTAATGCCATAAATTCATCACATCTCTCAAATAACAGGAATAGTAGTATCATTGATATTTTACAGTCAGAAATCCAGTGGGGTATAGATAGTCCTGTAAGATATTACTTTGACGGCGTTTGACAAATGAATGATGTCCACCAATTTAATTCAAACTTACCAGAAAGTTTTCTGTTGTCTTTTTAAGTACAGTGCCTTGCAAAAGCATTTGACTTCTTTTAGTGATGTCCCTTTTTGATTAATTACAAATGACATGTACTTTTATGGATGAAAGAAGTAAGATGTTGGCAAAATCTGCAAAGAAAAACATGTTGATTTCATAAATATTCTGGCTCCCGAGCCAAAACTTGGTAGAAACATTTTTGTCAGCAATTACATATTTTTGAGTAAGTCTCTGCCAATTGTGAATAATGAGGATGTGGTGCAATTTCATCTTTGCAAACTTTCTCATGCTCTGTCAGGTTGTTTGGGATCAACTGATGGATATCAATCATCATGCTTTGCAACAGATATTGGATTTTTATCAGGACTTTGATCAGGCCACTCCAGGACATTCACTTACTTCTTGATAAACCATTCCAGTGTTGGCCTTGTGCTTTGGGTCATTGTCCTGTGAAAAGTGAATTTTCAACCCAGCTTTAGGTCTTTAACATACTGAAGCACATTTTCTTCTTGCATTAGCCTGCATTTGGTTTGCTCCATCCATTATTACCTTAGCAAGCTTCTCCATCCCTGGTGATAAGAAGCAGTTCCAAGATATAATGTTGACTCCACTCTTCTTGACAGTGGGGTTGGTGTTAATTGGATGATGCAGTTTATTAGATGTGCAAGAGACATATCAATTATTAAGACTATAAAGAACAAACTTTGTATCTTTTGACCACAGAACCTTTTGCCACACTTGCAGTATCACTTAAACGCTTTATTGCAAGCTCCATGTGAAATTTGAGATGAGTTTCTTTATGTTCCATACATGGTCATCATTTTAAAGTGACTGACATATTGTTTACTCTTGGACATTTTCTCCCATCACAGCTGTTGAGCTCTGTATCTCTTTCTAAGTCACCATTGGCCTCATGGTTGAATTCCAAACCACTGTGGAAGGACTGTTTGAACTAAGCAATGTTTGTATGGTATAATGCTCCACACCATCCATTTTTTTAATGATCTGGTTCACCATGGTCAAGTGGATATTAATTGCCTTTGAAATCTTGTCATGCCATTGTGCCTTTCTACAACTTTATCCTTGAACTTTTCTGCAATCTCTTTAGCTTCATGTCTGAATATTTGCTTGTAATTCATTACCTGAATGAGTGCCCTTACAAAGATGCACTTCTTCTGAAATCAGGTGAACCACTCTTATTGCACACAGACAGACACCATTTCAATAACTGAGCGATGTGCCAAAGTAATTTTGTGAAGTTGGACCAATTTAGGTTCATGTTATTTTTCTGAAGGACATCTACTATATTCAATCCTGTCACAATGACTGTGTTCAATACAGCAACAATACAGCAAGAGTTTATGTATCCCAAATGTTTTGTACTCACAATCACAATCATGTTTTGCTGCAGTACCTCCCAATTTCTAAAGCTGCACAGCAACATCATTGACAGAATGAACTGCTTTGCATCCATTTATAAAAAAAATGAAAATTTTGCTGAGACGTTCACAACCTATTTTCAGACATGTGAGCAACAGTCTGCTTGTTCACATTTCATGTTCCTGTGAGTCATCCCATCTACTCTTTCTAATCACACTTTGTGTTCCTGTAAAGCCCATTTGCCCCTGCTTTGTGTGTATCCCATAGTACTTTGAGCACGTGGAGGAAGCTGAGTGGGCAGTTCAGGTTCTGAACACCAGTGGAAAGCCGGTTGCAGCCACTCTGTGTATTGGGCCGGAAGGAGACCTGAATGGAGTCAGCTGTGGTGAATGTGCTGTCAGATTGGTCAAGGCTGGTAGGTTCAATCTTGGATTTTCTGGTTGTTCAGTGATGCTTTTAAAACATTTAAAACTTGCTTTAGTTTCCTTCCATGTGCATTATATGACATTCGTGCTAGAAAAACAACAACATTGTATGTCGAAGTATGTAGCTGCCTCAACATGCATTTCTTGTTCCTTTGCAACACTGTACAGTATGTTGACAATCAGATTATTTTAAGATGAAGAAAGACAGCTATAGGTATGAACCACAGCAGGGAATTTAATGCTTAATTTGATAAAGATTTATGAAGAAGACAAAATGGTGTCTTAGGTATTCTGAAGATTATACAGTATGCTTATTCTGTTCTGTTATACAAGGTTATATAAGGATTATAAGGATTGACACAGAGACCAGGCCAGGTTTATTTGCAAGTTTATTCAACAATTTATATTAATTAAAATACATTTGCTTAATGTATGTTCACTGCGTTTACAAAGTAGTTCAACTTGTCACTTTACAGAAATCCACTTTTAAAAGTGGATTTAAAACCATCCCAACATTTACAAAGTTCCCTCTGAAATAAAGCTGCTGCATTTACTGTATGTGCTTGACAAATGGAGATGAACTGACCTTGAAAGGCAGCTCGTGTTGGTAAAGACAATAAACTATATTATAAAATGTTGTGGTCTGAATGAAACATCTTGTTATTTATCTTTTCATGTTGTGTTGGAGTTTAAATAAATAAACCAGGATGAGAATGGTGATGAAATATTTTTGTTCTGACAGTGTGGCTGTGTTCTGTGTTCAGGTGCCAAGATTGTCGGTGTGAATTGTCACTTTGATCCCATGACGTGCCTGAAGACTGTGAAGCTCATGAAGGAAGGCCTGGAGGCAGCAAAGCTGAAAGCTCATCTCATGATCCAGCCCCTTGCTTACCACACCCCTGACTGTAACCATCAGGGATTCATTGACCTCCCAGAATTCCCCTTTGGTAAGGCCATGCTGTGTGTTCAGACTATCAGCTTGATATCTTAAGGAGGTTAAGAGAAATTCTGTTGTTCACTTCATCTTAATAGTGTCAAGTACACCTATCGCTTGAAACAGAATTATAATACTTGAAATATTTTAATGGGTAGAAAGTTCTAATATTAAAAAGGTGTTTATGAAACATGTGATGATATATTCATATTTTTGATTGGTCTTAAAAAAGGAAAATATATTTTTATGAGGTGTTTAGCTCTTCCACTTCAGTTCATAGGTACATTGCTGAGTGAACAGAATGTAATCATTCTGGACCAAAGGCTTACCCAATGAAACACACACTGCACACCGTGGGCTGAATTTGTTTTAAAATGTAATCATAATTGACTTTGTGTTTTTTCCTCATACAAAATAAGGAAATGACACATTCTGAATTTTGGTGTTAAAGACAGACCTGTTGCAACCGTTTGTAGATCAAATTAGATATTTTAAGCATGTTAAGCATGAGTTGGAAGAATTTCTGACTATATGTAAAGTAGACACAAACCTAATCAGTATAGTTTCTGACTACACGTTGAGTAGACACAACCCTATACATCAATTCGTTTTTACACATTACAGCCTTGGAGCCAAGAATCCTAACCAGGTGGGACATGCACAAATACGCCAGAGAGGCCTACAAGATGGGCATCCGCTACATTGGTGGCTGCTGTGGCTTCGAGCCGTACCACACCCGTGCCCTGGCAGAAGAGCTGGCACCCGAGAGAGGTTTCCTCCCTGACGCCTCTCAGAAGCATGGCAGCTGGGGTAATGGTCTGGACATGCACACCAAGCCCTGGGTCAGGGCCAGGTAAAAAGCCTCGGAAGCTTTTCAAATCAGTCTCGCACATTTACTGGCAAACAGTTTCTCCACAAGAATTTATTAGGCCATTGGAGGTGTTTTGAGATATGCAATATCTGCTACTGTATATGTACATTGATAATTCTTTGTGGGCGGTACTATACATTTTTTTCTTCCACTTTCTGTATAGCATGTGTGGGATTTGCAAAAACATTCTAAATATTACTTACTGAAAGCATTTACTAGCATTATCTGTAATCAGTTATTTTGCAGCATCAAAGCTGAAGCAGTCCACTGTCGTAAAAATAGCTTTAACAAAGAGTAACAAAGCAGCACACACACTCAGCCTTCACATTCATCCCACCTGTTGAAATGTTCATCAACCTTAAGACTGCTTGCCCTGTTTTTGTGAAGGGCTCGTCGTGATTACTGGGAGAAGTTGCTGCCGGCATCAGGGCGCCCCCTGTGTCCTTCCATGTCTACACCAGATGGATGGGGAGTGACCAAGGGACATGCTGACCTGATGCAGCAGAGAGAGGCGACCACTGAGGGGCAGCTGAAGGAGCTGTTTGAAAAGCAAAAGAAGGCCAAGGTCACAGCTTGAGGTTCATCAAACAGCTCTGGGCTCAAGGGAGGCAAAGCGGGACTTTTTCTGTCCATTCCCATTTGATATTTTGGATATTGGGCACTTGCAACAGATGTGTTTTGTTTTTGAAAACTTTACTGGACCACTTCTATGCAATCATATGGTAATAAACAGAATTCATTACCTAAATCATTTCGATGGCAAGTTTTTTTTTATTAGTGTGTTGTACAATTTTAGTTTCCTTAACCTGAAAGAAAGTAAAGGTTTAGATCCAGAAAATGTGTGCGTAGTCCTGCTCAAAGTGAAGAAACAAAAAACATTTCCAATATGCTACTCTATATAAACACACAAGAACAACATAATCAGTTTTAAGGTAACTATGCTGCACAACAATGTTGGGTTATACTGTACACTCCTGTGGAAAAGACTTGTTGCTCTGAAAAAAGCGTTTTTCTTTATGTAGTAATACAGGTCTCTACAGAAGGTTTAATCATAGTCATGATCATTTAAGCTACATGTAAAAGTCCAAATCAATTATAAATCAGAAAAAAATTGTGACACAAAATTTCTGTTGAATGGGAAGAATATATGAGAGAACATCCATCAGAGAATCTCCCCCCCCCACCACTCCGACGGCAGGCGGAGCGACGCGCTGGTTGGAGTATTTCTCGGTTGCATTTAATGGCAACGTCAGCTCAAAGATTTGGTTCAAACCACCAAATGGAGACGGGCGTGCCGACAAGCGGACCCTGCTGATGCGGGATTAACGCTAGGATGAGAGAGATCCATCAGAGAATCATGGCAAACTAGAATAAGAATGTCTTTCCAGCTGAAGCTCTTCAGTGTGGGGGGTGTTTACTGTTCAGACACCCCTTGTTCTGGCTGACTTATGAAGGACGTGTAATAGCTGTAGAAATATAACAAATGATCTGAAAGTGTTCATTCAATGACCATATTGGAACCAACTCTTAACATTCTTACAATTTAACTACATTTTTCTGCATTTGTCCATTTGAAAGCCTTTAGCTTTAAGCCTAACTCTCTTTGTTCAAAAGATAACCTATTTAGTCTTGTAAAAAGAAAATGAGAAAGGGTCCTGATACAGTTATTGAAAATTGTCAAAGGCATTGACAAAGTCCGAATGAACAGTGAAAGACAAACCAGAGGACGTAACTGGAATCTATGTGGAAGTGCGTTTAAAACCGAGAACAGGAGACACTTCATTACACAAAGGGTTGTGGGAGTATGGAACAAGTCAGTCAGCCATTGCTGAAGCCGAGCTTCTTTCCTTTCCTCAATTACTGTAGCTACTGTACCTTGGATCCAAACAAACTAGATGGGTCAAATGACCTCTTGTTTGTAAGCTTCTTAACTTGGTGCTTTTTGATTGTCCACATTTGAACTCAAGCAAATTTTAATTACTTTCAAAAATCAGCAGAACAAAGTTTACAAACCATCTTGGATCCTAATACAAAGTAAACTGAAATAGCATCTTATATAGGAAATGCCTATATATGCCTCTGCTTCCATAAAGCTCTGTTAAATGCAGATACAGTACCAACTCTGAAGATCATTAAGGGAACATTACTGTATATCTTAATCCAGATGATTAAGAGTAGAGGACTTGTAAAGCATTTAGCTGTAGCTGTAGCACAAGCTTTTTGCTCCCTCCAGACAGAGCCTGTTTTGAAATCCTAAAGTAAAAAAAGTCCATGTTTTCATGTTTTCCATGCCTGTACTGTTTCAGTTTCATTGTCATCTTCCTATTTTCTTGAATCCTTACAAACTCAAGAATAAATTATGATCTTAAGTTTTGAAATGTGCCCAGAATCTGTGAAAATCACAATTACAGCCACTCATTCAGACATGATGAATCAGGAAATCACCCAAAGATATGAAAGGAAGAATGACAGGACAATCCCTGTAGAGAAATGTAATTTGTAAAATATTCTTATGCATTTATCAAGGTGTAGATTGTTGTTGATCATAATGGTAGTAATGGGACATATTGTACAGTATATGAAATGAAAGAAAATAGTAAAATTACTTTGCAAAACTTTTGTGTCTTTGTAGAAATATGGAAAACAAAATTATTCAGATATGTAAGACAGACTTAATGATGGTCAGTCTGTGGATTTAAATATCAGTAATGCATTTAACCAGCCTTCCTGTGTGTGGAAAAATGTTTACATGCATGACTGACAATTTGTAACATAATTTTAAAATATGCCATGTGACATATTACCAGTGTCAGAAAATGACAATTTAATCAATTTGAACTTATTTTTTTTTCCAAACCAAGCACAACACACTTGAAGACATCATTTTTAAAGGCTTATTTGAAACTGATACTGTATACCGTACATCAGATGTATCACAGATCTTTAATATAAAAGATGACTACATTAACAGTTCCCTGTTATTTTGCTGACAATAATAAGCTAAATGTTACACCAGTTAGATTCAGGACCTCAGGCCAGTTTAAAACTCCTTATTATGGTACCTGTAGCATACTGAATGGAATTCTTGTTGAAATATGTCTCATCACATAGGACACGTACCTCTATGAATAATTAATTGGTATAATGGCATAATGTTGTCAACCAGGTAGTTCAATTTTTGGTTTATACAACATCTATAAGCGTTTTACGCATTTCTCAATACCGTTTCAATGCATTCGATATATATTACTCTTCACAGCTAATGTGTGCCCCCCAGTGGACATAGCGTGTAATTGTTCTGAGAAATGTAGACAACGGAGACAAATTCTGTTATACTGAGGGACAATCATTCAATGAATGGAGAGGAGATCAAATAATTTGCATAGGTATTATGTCCATCTTGACGCCTGATTGCCCACCAAACAAATCCATGAAGTGTCACTCTGCTACTTTAGTAATATTAACATTGAACAGAGATACATGTATATATTTTAACAGTATATATTTTTAATATGCTAAACTCCTTTATTGTAGAAGACACAGACCCTCCCAGGTTATACAGGTTTTCTTCCTCAGAAATGTCTGTAGTTTGTGCAATAATTGACTGGCATTCAAAACTGAGAGGTCACTTGGTTGATCTTACAGAAATACAACTCATAAAGAAAGACACAACAAACAATTATTATCCAAACAATTATTATCCTTACAGGAAAATAACTTGGTTAAAAGACCACTGATGACATTATTATGTGAATTTGTCACACTTACATCTTCTGTTGGACACCCTCTCCATAATGAATCTTGTTAGGAGTAGCTCCAGAGAATATGAGAAGCTCTATTGAATATCTAATCTCCAAAAAGTGCTGGGTCAAGATTCAGATTATTCAGTCCAGAACCTCTTAAATTACTTAATTTAACAACAAAAACAACCACCTTTGTAACAGATGTGCTGGATTCACCAGACGTCCTGACCTAAACTTCCTGCAGTGAGTTTGACATGCTGTAAGAGATAAAAACAAGCCTGATACCAACAATAGAACCAGTATAGCTGTGTTGTCCTCAACTCATTACCAAACACCTTTCTACTTTGCATCCTCGTTTAAGAAAACATAGTTTCATTATTTCTTTTTTAGCGAGTCTTCCTGGCTTGTAATGTATTTCAGCTGGATCACCTTGGATTTTGACCACTACAGAAACTGCAGAGGTAACTACATTATTTTTCATACATGTATGGATAACGTTGCAACCAATGGTTTCTCTGTGAATGTACGTTTCCTGGTAAATTAACAACATCCGTCAAACCGCATTTTAAAATGAAAATGTCTAGCTCTCTGACAAGGCGATCCTTCCTTTAGTAAACAATACAGAAAAGTAGAAAGATGACCATTTGTGGCCTCTATATTTTTTTTACCACATGTAATTGTTTATGTCTTGTTTTCTCCAACAATCGAAAGTCATGCTAGAGGATTGAATGGTTATCGTAAATCGAAAAATCCCTTTTCTCTGTGGCCCTGTGATAGACTGGGTGTCCAGTCCTGAATGGGGAGAGCAGTCATGTTTTCAAAGTGCAGCTTTGTGCCCAATTATTCTCAGATTGACTCCAGCCAGCTGTGGTCTTTCTCTGGTTTAGAGGCTTATTTGTAACAAATTGATGAGTTATATACCTGTATACTGCAGCCGAAATACAGAGACAAAGAAGATGAACACTGTTTGCATATAAATAATTATAAAGAAAACATCGTATATGGGATTGTGGGTATTACAACAAAAAATGAGCTAACTAGCAGAACAGGAAAAGCATTTTGTTTGCAGGAGTTGTAAATTGCTAGTATAAAAGCAGTCAGAAGCCACACATCAAAGCTTTTTCACATCCCTTACATACATTATTAATGAATTCTGTTTTGTAAGCCATGAAAGACAGGATGAAGATATGCATTTTTATTTATGCAACATCCCTTTTATCATCCTTTTCTCAGGTCGAACAACCAATGTGTAATACACAACTAAAACACAACAACCTTCTTTTTCCCAGACCCATAGCAAAGAAACCCAAAATGCCACCTTCTTCTCACCATTCCATATTAACTTGGGAGTTTGTGTTAAAAACAAATCTTATAAATAACAATATTTACAGTATTTTTAACTGATGCTTTCCAGATATTCAGATTTGTTGACCTTAATATTAGTCATAATCACGCTTGATCCTGGCTAAAGCTGTTCATGTCAACACCCTCAGTGCACATTAGTAAGAAGATCCTCACAGCACACAACTAAGAAGATCCTAAGGTTGAGTGCTCTAATTCTAACAAACATCAAATGAGTCACAAATAATAAAAAACTATATTTTGGTTGTACTATCCATCTACACTTTTTCAGGCTGTTTTTTCTAATAAGGGTCACTGGTTGCATTTAAGCTCATAAAATTATTGAATGCTTCTTTTAGTAATTAAGTCAAAGAAAAATATAACTTGGAACCAATTTTTATTCTGAAAACAACATTTATTTATAATTTTACATATAGGTAGTAGTCATAATATATTTATTTAATGTTCGCAATGTTTCTTTTCCCCAATATAGTTTTCCGCAACATTAACATTAAGAGGTTCTGTCATTATCACTGAGACACAGCTGTAAAAAAATAAATAATATTGTGGTATCTGGGACTGTACTGTATATTGTAGGATTTTCATTTCAGAGTTGAAATGAGGTGGAAAGTACACTTAAATATAAAAATGCTTTTTGGCAAAATATTGGCATACTGTATAAAAGCTTAAGCCCCTTATCTGAGATAAGATGGGCTTAAAATGACCCTCACCTTTTGTCTGGAGACCTCGTATCACAGCCGGTGTCCTTAATGCCAGAAATCTCCCTGTTTTGTAATATAATACAGTTTTAACTCGCCCTCTTTACTCATTTAGTACAGCTGCTCAGTTTATTCTGTGCTTCTTCCCAGGGAATACCTCTAGCTTGTTTAGTTGTATTTCTGTTTTTTTTTAATCACTCCCCTAGTGCTATTTATTTAGATAAGAGGATTAAACGAACAGTAGTATAAATTAATTAGCTAATGCCCTTTGGCTTCATAACCTACTGGAAGTCTGAAGTTCCCAAGTAGCGAGAATGAAATGTTCCATACCGTGAACGTTTGAAGTCCGTTTACTGCAGAATATACTGTATGATTACGTTCAGGCCTTATTCTTTAAGAAATGAAATTAATTGTTTTAAAACAGCATACCACAGAAATATAATAAAGTAGTTATGAGTTCTGTGTCCGATAATCTCGTCCAAGTATTTATTCTTCGAATGTACACATTTCAGAATTTCATCAACCAGTTCCAATAAGAAATAAAAGCTGGATCGTCTATGAACACACAGTAGGCTGTATGATGTCAGATCGTTTTAGGGTATATTTTTTATTTGAAACGTCGTACTTGTATCGTTATAATAATTGCAAAGAATGTAAATAATATCATTTTCAACAACTAATTTTCGCTTATGTTTGTTTAACCCGTTTTACTGATAAGAGACATGTTTCCATTAATTACTTCAAGGGGTGTTACTAAACGTACATTTTATCTTCAGATTGCAAAATGCAAATAAGTAGGTTTGTTGTGAATGATACACTACTTTGCATTGCAAAGTACGTTGAGTCCCGAGTGCACGTTTGTTAAAATAGTGCCATGTCCTCTCAGACTAACAGTTTTTAGACATTTATATTGTAAAAGTTGTATTTTGTTTTTACTGATTTGGGGATATCGGTGAAATTAACAGCGCTCTATAATAATTAGCACTCATTAGATTTGAATTATGTATATGGTGCAGTTGAGGACTGCGGTTAAATACGTCCTAAGTAACATAATAAGTTTAAATGAATTCAGGAAAAGGGGTTAAGTTTTTCACGTGAGAGGTTAGGATAGATACATCTTTCCCAGGAAATGCCAGCTATCACTGTGACAACAGACTTACTGTAAAAAAAGCCAAAAACTCTTCCTAAAACTACATGCCCCCAATCCCCAAGCAATTATTTGAAACTAGTCTTATTAGTTCTTTTCTGCCCATCTATGAAGAATTCCGAATTTAGAAAGCTCTTAGGGATAAAAAAAAATAACCTCCGTATATCAAATCCCAACAAAGCACATCCATTGTTTTGTTCTCTCAAGTTTGACGCTTCAGCCGCATGGCAACTGCGATCAGCGGGTTGCGTCACCCCGTTCACTGCGTGCCCCACGTGCAGATGGCTACGTCAGCAGCGGTCCGTCAGATGGAAACATTGTAATGGAGAAATGAGGAGCAGGACAGGCGGCCGACAGACCGAGAGATTGTCGGATGAGCTTTTGGGAAAGAATCTGGACAGTTATGGGTCATCACTCGGCTGACAGCTAGGTCTTGGCGGAGGGCTTGCGGGTTCCGGATGTTGGAAGTGACGAGTTGGGGGATAGAAGAGGGTGGAAAAAAGAGACTGCGACTAAGCAGGAAAAAAAAAAACACGCGAAACATTTTGACAGCAGCGCTCTCGGTCTCCGCTGGCGGTGTCTGATTGTAAACAGAGACTCACACGTGACGATGGGAACCGTCCGCATTGTCTGAGGAGCTTCATGAGAACAAAAAAGGGCCCTTTTGCGATCGGGTTTCAGGTGAGCGGGGAAGCAGGTGTAGAGGGGATGTCAACTACAGGACCAGTTTAAAAGATCATTTTCTTTGCGGCTAGAGAAAGATGGCTGTTTTTCTGGAGATTGTGTGATCCCCGATGAGGCACTGTGGTTTGGGACTGGGATCTTAGTGTTCGAAAACACTCGGCTGTATATATTACACGCAATTCTTTGGAACTTCTTTCCGTTTTGATCGGCGGGGAAGGTGGAGTAAAGGAGATTAGACCTCTGCAGACCATGTCCTTCACAATGGAAGACACTTTGGAGTCGGGATGGGTGGCCGTGAGACCCAATGTTTTCGAGGAGAAGGAAAAGCACAAGTTCGTGTTTATTGTGGCGTGGAACGAAATCGAAGGCAAGTTCGCCATCACTTGTCACAACAGGACAGTCCAGAGACGGAGCGCAGTCAGGGATCCCTCCTTCGCTGCAGCTGGGATGGCCGCCTTGAAGGCTGGCGAGGGTCTGACATCCGCTGCGGTAGGAGTGACCGAAGAGGACAAACTCAAAACCTCAAGGAGTCCGGTCAAAGAAAGGGCAGAAGGCGGGGGCAGTGTGCCCAAGGTCAGAAGTAGTCCAGTTAAAGGAGAAAGTATCCCAAAATGCCCTATGCGGAAGAAATCATCGGATGGTTCAAGTCCGGTGAAAGCTGGCGTTAAACTCGCAGCAGTGCGGGGCAAAAGTCCGGCGACAGTGATGGACATCGAGGTCCTTGACCCTACAGGTCCCAAGGATGAGTCTCGGACTCCGGAGGGCGAAGCTGCAGACACGGAGGAGCTGGAGGGCGGCGTGAGAGAGGACTGCAGCTGGGCAGGACTGTTCTCCTTCCAGGACCTAAGGGCAGTGCATCTACAGCTGTGCTCTGTCAATTCAGACCTGGAGCCCTGCTTGCCTCTTTTTCCAGAGGAGCCCTCCGGAATGTGGACAGTGTTATTCGGACCCCCGGAGGTGACGCAGAAGGAGATGGACGCCCTGTGTTACCAGCTGCAGGTCTACTTGGGACACGCACTGGACACCTGCGGCTGGAAGATCCTCTCCCGAGTGCTGTTCACCGAGAGCGACGACCCCGAAGAGTACTACGAGAGCCTCAGCGAACTGCGGCAGAAAGGATACGAGGAGGTGCTGAACAGAGCCAGGAAGCATCTCCATGAGGTAAGAGCAGAGGCAAAGCCAGCCACTTGCGCGCATCGCACGCTGTCATCACTATCTTTGCAAAGGAGACTTCGCAGTTAGTGCCCTTCCTATCGAGGGACACGTTACTACAGCGGTGTAACAGGCGCTTAGGTGGTTTTAAACTGAGAAAGCAGAGGTTGATCTGTGTGAATCCGTCTGTATACATTTTCCTTTAATACATTTAGGATGTCGGCGTACAGCATATACAGTATTAAAAATATCACACCTCTGCAGTCACCCAGGTTTTGTGTATCGTTCGGTACCTTACTGAAGGGACAGGTGCATATCCAGTAGCTTTTCTGGGGGTTTCCGGATTGCCAGTTTCCATTTTGACATGCAAAAAAGGTAGAAGTGGCAGTTAAGTATGTCGAAGAAGATACATGAAGAGAATGATTTGGGAAAAAAAAAGTTTGGAATGTTTTAGCATGGGCAAATACAGCAAGCAAGGCTCTTAAATCTAAACCGCAGAAGCTCCAGAAAATACATCTTACGTAATTGTTGATAAATATTGTTAACTCATTTGCTATTTATAGAATGAATTTACACAATTTGTTTATGGTCATAAAATCATTATTTTACAAATAATAATCAGAATTATTTTGAGAGAATGTGTTTGAAAGGAAAAAAAAAACATTTCTCCTTAATGTGACAAGAAGGCAGGGCATCAAGTTCGCCGAGTTGTAATAATGACTCATCAAACTGTTACGCAGCTTTCTGGACTGCATTACCAATCAGGGCATGATTGGCTACACACACTATTCAGTGAATCGATGAATATTTTTCCAATTAAATGTTATGATCCTGCATTTTCCCGACCTTTCTGATACTAAATGTTTGTCAAGGCATTGAAAGACACTTCAGTCTGAGCAACCTACACTTTTCTTATTCGCTCCTAGACTATGTCTAAACCTTTTTATTGGCTATATGCGGATTCCTCCTTTTTTTTTTTTATAAGTGCCTCGCATTTTCGCTGCAAGGCGCTGGATAGTTTTATTTTCTTGCATACAGGTACGCTGAACGAAAAAGCCACAAGAAGCACGCAGAAATGTTAAATCCAAGACAGATGGAAGCCATGAAACAGATTAAAGCAACCTGTCTCATGCAGCGAGGAGTCGTGACTGTTTTAAGTCTCAGTGCCTGCCGTTCATATACCCAAATTAACCATCCTTGGCTGTGATTCTGCTGCCTCAGCCCTGCAGCGAACTCTTCCACTCAACCCCCTGTGCTGATAATTCACAATCCTGACTAAATGGAGGAGGGGTGATGTTGAGCCAAACATTCAGCACATGGACCTCTCTGTTCCTTTGTTTCAAAAATCGCCTAAGCGGCCATCTGTTGCTATACAGTACATGTGAGAAACACGATCTGAGGTGCAGAAACCACTTCCTCCGATGCAGAGCCTTGTACTGTGCCCTGCAGCTAAAGAGGCTGGGAGGCAAGACCGGTGCACATTGTCTTTATACTTCACCACTCTGCATGAATTGCATGTGAAATTAGATGGGGTTTATTTTAATGAGCAGCCACGTGATGTACCGAACAGCCGGCTCCGTCACAGCTGACATTTCCTCTGCAGTTTCATGATTCAGTGCAGATTCCCTGACGGTGAAACTGTAAGTCCCCAGAGCTTAATACAGTAGGTTTTACTTTTTTTGGGAGGGGGGGCAGACTTTGTGTCGAGCCAACAGAGTATTAAAAACACATCTGTTTGCTTCAGAATTTCGTTCTCGACTTGTGGACCGAGTAGCCCACGTGGTAATGAGACACATACTGTAGGAAGAAAAAGCAAAGGTATCCCCGCACGCTGAAGGCGAATCCTTATTGTCTGATTGTAGGAGTCCAAGCAGGAATTTTCTGAGATCACACGCTGAGCAGAATGAATGGTAAACCGATGTCTTAAAAAATACATATCATCTGCTTTGTAAAACAGCTGTTTGGAATTTTGATAAGTAACAACTTCATTCTGCTCTGCAGATGGATTCTGGATCAGATTACAAATTTAAATGTGTGTTTAATTCCTCACATATTGTAAACCTTAATATTAATTCTAAATAGTGACAAACACAAGAACTGAGGATTGTTATCCTGAGCAATACTGGTCATCTTATGTAATTCCAGGCATAAAAATTACTTTGTTGGATTCAGAGCGATACATCTCATTTTCTTCCATAATTAATGCTAAATTATAGATGTTGTAAAATTTTAATTGTAAGAGGCTGACGTTTCTTGTTTTTAAACTGTAAAATAGTTGGTGCGGAACAGCAGAGTTATGTCAAACATTAAATGCCTAGTACTGTAATCATTAGTGGTTCTTTCAGGAAATCGCTTCTTTCAGGAAACAGTAGGACAGATCACTGGATCAATTAGCTACTAGCAACCAAACAGGTTACATGGGTCAGATGGCTCTTGTTTGCTTTTCTTTATGGTCCTTAAATATCCTTGTTGTGACTGGATATTTCATAAACCTTATTTCAACAGGACATAATATCGTTGGAATGCCTCATTCCAATGCAGGCATCAATACAGTACATGTGCGTCCTCTTCATGTTCAATTGGGAAACAATGCAGACAATGACTGAAATGCAGGTTAAACGTGCAGGTTGACGAGGCCAAATACTTAACAACAGTAAGCGAAAAATATCAGCTTGTCTTGTTTTATGATTAGTGGCATTTTTAATATGTTCGCCTTGGAAACAGAATTGGCAGAAGGCATATTTAAATGTGCATCTCATGTCAAAATAAACACTACAAATGTGGAACATTAAGCATAATGTACTCCGGTTAAAATTGTAATGTTCTGGCATACAAAGACCCACAATGTCAATGTTGCACCCTATTATAAAAAGACAAATCAATAGTGTCCGAAATACAACAAATCCACATTTTTGACATCTCAAAGGTATTTAGAATATGTGTTTTGCTAAAAAGAATGTTGCGTACAACTACTGTATTAACTTCAGGCCCACGACTTAATTACATGATTGTGCTGGGAATGTTCATGGTAGTGTGGGAAAATCATGAACAGTGATCAGAATGTAAGAATGTATCATGGCTGATGCAGCCATGCTTAGACCTGTTTGACTATGAATCAGGATTTGGAATTGCCACTGCAGGGGAAACTGGAATACTGTAAGAAAGGGATTGTGGTCTTGGAGAGTCCCACCCCAACTGGCTTTGTCATTTAGTAGGCCACCAATATCAGCAATTTCTATAGATCTGGAAGAATTCCATTGTGATCTATTAAACAGGTGATTTATTCAATTAAAGTAGTGTAGAGATAATACAGGATTAAAGTCTGGGTACAGTTGAGCACTCAAGGATCAGAGTTCTCTTACACGGATTAATGATTCATCAGTAATTTACAGGCCCTGCCTATCAAGGTGTCCTGCATGACTAACTGGATTGGGGTTCTTCAGGACCAGGGTTGGAGACCATTACAGTATTGCAGTTTTCCCCCTGCAGTGGCAACTCCAAGTCAGAAACATTCTAAGCATGGCTGAAGTCTGATGGGCTAAAATGAGGTGCTGAAATTGCTTATTGGAATGTGATATCACTGTGGAGGAACAAGGGGGAAAGCAGCTGTTGATGCTAAACAAAGCAGATAAAGGAGAAACTGTGACAGAAGGAGGACAACTGAGTCCAGAACCAACGAGGAATCAAACAGGTGCCCCAGCACTGTCAGTTGGCTACAGACTTTTCTAAATGGATCAGTGCCTCAGAATATCACATGACAGTACCATTGTGAGCAAATGGCGTTAAATAGATATTTGTATTTGAACACTGACACTGCTATAAAGAAGTAACTGTCTGGAGCAGCAGAGGCAGCAATGACATTAGAAATGACAAGCTGCAGTTTATACTGCTTTGTGTGTGGTTTTGTAAAACAGTAAAGTAAAAATAAAAGGTTAAATTTGCTGTAGTAATCAGTTATTCATTTTATTTAACATTTCTTTTTTCTTTTAGCAGTATCAGTATTTACCTGAAGATAAAAGTAGGCTTTTCGTTTAGTTTTAAAGGACCCAACAATGTGGTAGCACAGACTAATTGCATTTTATTTACTTTGGATTAGGTCATTGACTTGCAAAATCTTCTAGCAGCAGTCAGTCTGTGTACAGGATGCCCATGTTTTTTTATTCATGTGCAAGTTTAGAATATGCAGAACACCATTTTGTTTTGTTTGTAAGACAAGTGAGAACCATTAAAAATTCATTGTTATCCTGATGTTTACCCTGGTTTAAAAACAAAACGTACAGCTTCAATCCTGACATTCTTACAGTACATTCAATCCTTTACCATCTTTCGACTGATGGAAGATTCTCAAAAATAAACATCAGCCCTATTGATCTAATGCACTAAGAAAAATGGCTGTGCACTGTAGCCATTTTATATCGGCATGAACAGCTGTTCTTACACACACAGCACATTTTTGATGACTGGATAATTTTTTTGATGACTCCTTTAAGAAAGGCCTAGAGGTTGCCTAGCCTAATTTAGATCAGTTCTGTGATCACAACATCTAACTGGTCCCTGAAAGAATTTAACGACTTGGCAAAACATGAACAGCCTTGTGTTTTAAGGTAGTTTTTCCTTGCCCTGATTCCTAATTTGCTCTTATTAAGATCTGATCATTGCACACACAGCATTAATTTCTTCCTGTATCTACAGTATAATACAGAATTGTAATTTTACTGAGTATTTAACCATCCCTTTTGGCGTGTAGACCCTCCTTGTTTCCTATGCTTCCAGATAGGTTCTGGGTTGCTGTAGATCAATGTGAAATTAGCATCTTTTTGATAATGAAGGGATGGATGAATGTTTTCTCTAACTTTAATGTATGTCAAAGTACTGTGTGCACTTTGGCTTCATCAATCTGTAGAGCAGCAGGCCTACCTTATAATGTAATATATGACACATTATAAGACACATTTCATGGTACTGGGAATTACTTTTCATCCCAAGTTTGATACTGAGTTTTAGTGTAT